GTAGATATGATGAAACATCCGACTGGTCTTCAAGGAGAGCTTTTGTTTCCTTGCTGGTCAGGAAGATAAGATAGACCAAATTAGTCAAATTTGCCGAATGATAACAGAGTGAGGCGTATCGTCTTTACACCTAAACCAGGAATTCCTTAGCTCCATTGGAAAACACTTGTGAAAAGGCCAAAAAATTATTTTTTTAGCCCTGCTTGTCTCGACCTTGGCATATTGAAATTTTTCGTTCAAAAATTCATTGCGCTTAGAAAGTTGCAAAGAATATAATATGGAATAATAATTGAATTTAGCCAGGTCAGAATACCTTTGGTTCCTCATGCAGGGTCGCTACAGGTATCCTAAGTTTTTGCTTTTGAAGGAACTTCTGTTGAATGAGTTCTAACTATTTCTCTTCTCTTCTTATTTTTAGGTAAAATATCATGAGATTATCTGGAAGAAGTTGGATCCCAATAGTGGAGAGGAACAAATGCTGCTGTTATTTGGTGTCAGTCAATTCTGGTGCCCTTTTAATTCTTTTTTGAGAAGATTTTTCCTCAAAAGAGACTCATGCTGATATCTTGGCAACTAGTTATGTATTAACACGTTGACTGCCACGCCGGTCGTATCGACCGGCCTCGAAGGGTTCTGCCGGGGCCACGCCGGTCGTTCCGACCGGGACCCGCTCGCTCGCATTACTAGGCTACTGTGAGGCCAGCGACCGGCGGAGCCGTGTATACGCTTATGGAGCCGTGTATACGCTTATGGAGCCGTGTATACGCTTATGGCTCACGACCGGCATGGCCCCAGCAAGAGAATGCACCACTGAATTTTTTTTTTTTTTTTTTTTTTTTTTTTTTTTTNTTTTTTTTTTTTTTTTTTTTTTTTTTTTTTTTTTTTTGGGGGGGGGATTTTTATTTTTTTCATTTTCATGAATCTTTTTCTTTATCATCTTTATTGATTAATACAATAAAATTACAATAGTGTTGTTTTCTTTGCTTAATATTAGTTACAAACCTTAGAATTTGTACGCATTTTGAAAAATAAATTAAAAAAGGGGAATAACAATTGGGAGGGGGGGGGGATTTTTTCTCTTTCAACTTTAATTTTCTTTTTCGCTATTTTTTTTGTTTTAATAAATTAAAATATAATTACAATCGTTGGTTTTTTACCTCAATATTAATTTTAGACCTTTAAATTTTGGCTTAACTTGAAAAATAAATTTTACAAAAAGGAGGAACAATTTTTTAGGAAGGGGGGGAGGTAGGGGTCAAAAGGTAAAATACAGGGTGTTCGAAAAGTCCCCTCCCCCCCTCCTAACTTTTGACCTAATTGAGGTAGAGATTTGAAACTTGGAGAGTGTTCCTAGATCAAAGGGAGCTACTTTTTGAACCCCCCCCCCCAAAAAAAAAAATTTGGGGGGCCCCCCTTGGGGAGGGGGGGGGTTACGGACCCTAACTTTTTTTTTCAAATCGGAAGACCCCCTTTGTGATACCTCGTTCGAAAGAACATAAAAAAAGAAATTTTTTCGCGCAAACCCGAAGTCATTATCTCAAACCGTTTCAAAATGGCGGCCGGTCAAAGTTCAAAATGGCCGAAAATTTAACAAACTCGATTTTTTGCCAATGGATTCACCTGAAATTCGGTATCTGGGGGTATTTTGGCACGAGAAAAACGAATTTGACGTTAGATTTTTAAAAAAACCCTAATTTTTCAAAATGGCCGCCGATTAAAGTTCAAAATGGTCAACAATTGGCAACCTCGACTTTTTGCCGATGGATTCGCCTGAAACTCGGTGTTAGGGGGTATCTGGGTTTGTCTCCTACCCAGTTTTACCAGTCCTTACCAGTAATTCCATGCCGTTCAAGGTTGTAGGTTGACTGCGCGCGAGTCACGCAACGTTGCTGATTCTCAAGGAACACACGACCGGCCGGACGACCGGCGTGGCCTCCGGTGCATTATTTTTCACCGGAGGCCATACCGGTCGTAACGACCGGCGGCTTCAGGCTGAAAGCTGAAAGAATATTACGAAGGTCAATGAAGTTTAGGTTTGATATAGTCAATTCTAAAAAAAATACCAAAAAGAAAAGGCTATGGCGCCGGGGGAAATAAGTACCTAAAACACCGTGGCAGTCAACGTGTTAAAAAAGTATGATGGTGGCACTTTCTCAACTCATTTATTGAATGTAAATTTTCCAGATTTGTTGTCTTAAAGTAAAGTCATCCATGAAGCATGAGCTAAAATTCACTTTAGCTGTAATTAAACAGTGGCATGAGGGTGTAATTAAAGCCTCTGAAAACATCGTAAATGTCTCTCCAATGCATGCTTAATTTAAGTACATGCATAAACAATTTTGTTAGTTTATGAATTGGTTGGAACTCAAACAATTTACCATTCCCCATTTCGAAAATATTTTGTCTAAAGTCTATTTTAGTCTTTTCCATAAGAAAGTTCTCTAAAGTAGGTTAATTTGAAAATCTGTAGTAGCATCTTCCAACTGATAGAGACTTCTTCAAGAGTTGCTGTTTTAATAGTTGTAATATTTTCATTCTTATTAGCCTCAACTCAACTTTACAATTGACAGGGTGTGTTGGGAAAAACTACAAAAATCTATGTTGTTGCATATTGCACATTTTTTTAAAATTTTATCGGCACTACACAAATTATTTGATTAACTTAAAACTTTTTTTGAAAACCGATCATATAGCACTTACTTTCTTATTGTTCTCTACGCACTATGGCCATTTCGAGCGGGCAGGCCGCCCATCTTCAGGTGACTGCATTGGTATGGAAAGGTTCAAAAATCCGGCGTGATAGCCTCGCCGGCGCAGTTATTATCGCAGCTCTCGTCCTCTCGATCAGCTAATTTCTTATCAGATGTTTTCACTACATTCTTCTTGTATGAACTGAGTAAGATTGGCGGTTTTGTCAATGTCTTCACGTAGCTCTCTAATTGAGTGTTAAGGAGCTCTTTATTTTTATGACAGTCTATTTCTAATTGTTCGAGTACATTTAATTTTTTGCCTTTATTACACTCATTCAAAAATCTAATGCAGCATTTATCTTTTTGCACTATGCCAATCAGCTGTGCTTAAATTTTTTATCGCTGTAAACTGCATCTTATTTGAAATTGGTCACCTCTAAGCCAGTCAAATAGGCCAGACCAAATACTAAAGGCAGGAAAGTTCAGAGATGTTGTTTTTTTTTGCTGTTTTGTCCAGCCCCTGGACTCTTTAAAAACCAGTAGCTTTTCTCCACAAGCCTTAGCAGTTAATCTCAAACAAAAGATCAAAGAAAAAATTTCAATAGTTTGGAACCTAAAGTCGTAAGATGCTAAACACCATAATGCTTATGAGCGGCTGATTTCACTTGATTTAAAATGACTCTGTTATGAACAAGATTAATTACATTTTTTCAACAACTCTTGTGCTGTAGTATTAGTATGTAATTCTTATGTTCATTGAAAAAAATCTCTTTATGCTCCAAGCAACGATGACAACACATAATTATTTTCCCCAAGTTCATTCCATAGCAATGTCACCTACCACTGTCTTCGTTGGATCATTCTATGAGATGTTGATGATGTATTTTTGATTTGTTAAATTTTATTATTGAGGTATCATATTATATTGTTAATGTTAAATTATATGTTAAAAAATTATGCAATTTTATTTAATTTGTGTTTTCCAGATTCGATTTTTTTTTTTTTTTTTTTTGGATGGGAGGAGGTGAGTAAAAATTGAAGAGCATTTTGTAGAAGGGTGGCTCTACAAGGTACTATTTATCGAGGAAAATGCAATTGAAATTGTGTTGATTTTGATCACACTTAACCCTGTTGGGTAACTTTAAACCCGTTAGCTTCAATCAACCTATATTGAACTGAAAATTGACAATAGTTTTAATCGCTAACTTTTTGAGCTTTTCAATACTTAAAGCATTGGCGGATCAAGAGGGGGCGGTCGGTCACAGTGGTATGCTGCCAGCTAAGTTGAAAATCAGTAAATCCATAATTTGCCGCAAGTCCACTAATGGACCAGTTTAGAAGGTACAAATTAACACATTCTGATACGTATCGTAACAAGAATTTTACCTAGAATATAATTCGCGCAACAGAAATTGATGAAACTAACTCTAATTAATCTGTTTAACATTTTTTGATGCGTGAATTCAAACCTTGCGCTCATGGAAAAATTAAAGTCTAGTTGAGACAAATTGCGCAGTAAGGGTTACTGTAACAGTCTCTGCGGTATGAAAAGATGGCGACCTTGATTTTGGATCTTCGGCTCAGCTGTCGCACGTAGTTAACACCTAGAACTATACAAGGCAGGAAGGAACATGGCTTCATTAAGGAGCCTGCCAAAACTGTTGTGGTATGTGTGATTTGATTCAAGTAGACCATTGTTTTTCTTGTGAGCGGGGAATTCAAAATTCTTGTAACCAATGTAAACTAAAAACGTTGTTATCTTAGTTTGGAGTTGATTTCAGTAAGTCCCTTTGTGCAAGTTGTGTTTAACGTGTTTTGGTTAAAAGCCATGTATCAGAACGCTTCAATTTTTGCCTTGTTTACTGGTCCATTACAAAGTGTAATTCTGCTCGTTTCGAAGAAAGTAGTTCAAGAGGTTTCCATTGACCAACTGGGATCAATTCATTTTTGATAATGACAAATGAGGGGCTTGGAGTACAAGGCACATAAGTGCAGTTTTTGCTATTTCAAAATGTACTTGTTAGAAGTTTCGAAATTTCATGGATCCTCAAGGCAGAAAGAAAGTTCAAACTAACTTTTTGATGTTTAAAAATAGGAATTTGGGAGCAAATTTTTCACAAAATATGCATCAAGACCAGTTTCACTTGAAATCGTCAATATCTTAACTTATAAAAACTGCACTAATGCGCCTTGACCTCCAAGCCCCTCAATTTCACTTCAATGTAGGAATACCAGAGAGAATTTAAATGAGGCCTTGTTCTTTATGATGATTAAGGGGAAAAGATTAACATAAAAGAATCCTAAGGAAGCTGAGTTTATATAAATGTAGGAACTTTATTTACAGGAAATTTTTTATGATTCATTATTTACAGTTGCCTCAGCTGGTTTATCACTTTAAAGCTTACCAATTTCATTCTTGAATTTAGTGATTGTTTCTTTAGCATTTTTAAGATGGTCCTTGTACTCGCTAATTTCTTGTCTAATCTTCTTTTTGGCATTTAAAATGGCTTGAAGGGTTCTCTCCTTCTTTTCATCAACTGAAACAAATCAGAATTAGAGTCACCTAATTTAATTTTAAAGTACCTTTAAGTTAACAATTGAAAATAAAAAAAAACCGAGATAAGAATAATATTAAAAGATGAACATTCCAGATACAATAAAGAATACATCCAATCTTGCAGCCAGGGCTTCATTCTAGGCTAACCTTCTTAGGTCCATTTCTTAATCATACCTTTGATGCAAAAGGTCTTCGTTTACACCTTTTCTTGCTTCATGCAAACCAGATATTGATTGCCGAGGTCAAAAAGTGCGTAACTCTGATTGTGACATTACTAATCTCCACTCTTGTGTCCCTTTTTTTCAAGGAAACTAGCCCAAGTACAGTTTTTTTTTTACATTTTCTGTTAATTTCCCATACTCATTCATAACTATTCACAGATAGTTTTAAAGAGATACTTTAATTGGTTCTCTTTTAAAAAATAATACATAATTGGGGATTTTTAAATACTTGATAATATTGAAAAGGGGCCATCTTTAAAATTTTGACAAACTTACTTTCTTAAAGGAATCTTCTCTTAATGGATACGTAATCCAGCCCCTAAAAGCCTACGACTGGTTTTCTTGCGAAACATCATTCAAGGGAGTCCAATTTAACAATAATTTAGAAAAGGAGCTATCTCCAGAGAGACTAGAAGTCAACTCAAAGTGTTGTTAAAATACACTTTCTATCTTTACTGACAAGCTGCTGTGTTCCTTAGATTTGCCTATCATTCTTAGCTAATCTTAAAGTCTTAGTCTCAAGTTTCCACGGGCCTATGGTGGCTGGATGAGGATTTGTTAATAACTTTTCCATGAACGCAGTTGGATCTTGAAACACTATTTCTTCTTAGTACTCTGGTACAAGAATTTTTTCAGTAACTAAAATATCTGGATTTGTTAAAAAAAAAGCTTCAGCATGTGGTAGACTGTTACCGAAACAAAAATGAAAGTAACGGTTACTCTGTAAAGTAAAGACTCGTTGGAATAAATCAAATGAAAAAATTCAATGAAGATGACATCGATTAATATATCCACTCCAGAAACTGCAACAGGTGAATGATGATAACAATGTTTATTATTATGAGCGATATCTCAAAAGTTCCCTTACAGCCAGATTACTTATTGATGGAGCGAAGCTCTTTCATAGTCTCTTCCACTTCGCTACACTGCTCAGCAACATTAAAAGGTATGAATGCGTTATGTATTCCATTATTGTTTCAAGGCCTTCACCATTGACTATCTACCTGGAGGTTGCTTTTAAAATGGCTGCAAAATGGAGCAAAAAGACACATAGGTAAAATTTAGAGAAGGGTCCCAGGAGGCCTTCCTCCAGATGAACACAAGAAAATGGCTCATCGACTTAGCCTTTTTCATATCTATACAAAATTATGGATTTTCGCTAATCCGGGAAGACGGCAACATTGCTTGAGATTTTCCCCTTGGATTTTCTCTTTTATCTGAGAATAGTCCTGGGAGTGTATACCCAATATGAGATGAATCAAATCGGATGAACAAATGAAATTGACGAAACGCCTAAGCCTGTTCCGAATTTCCGCGACTCGACTCGTATGGATGATGGGGCGATTCGGCAACATTGCTCGAGATTTCCAAATTGGATTTTCTCTAAATTTTCCGAGGATGGTCCTGGGAGTATGTACTCGATATAAAATGTGTCAAATCGGATGAACAAATGAAATTGTGGAAACGTTAGAGCACGTTCTGAATATCCGCGACTCTACTCCTAAGAATAATGGGGAATTTCATCAACACTGCTCGAGATTTCCCCCTTGGATTTTCTCTAAATTTGTCGAGGATGTTCCAGGGAGTGTATACTCAATATACAATGTGTCAAATTGGGTGAATAAATGAAATTGTGGAATCGCCCGCGCCTGTTCCGAATTTACGCGACTCGCGAATATTGGATACTCAGAAATTTCGGCAACATTGGTCGAGACTTCTCCCTTGGATTTTCTCTAAATTTTCCGAGGATGGTCCTGGGAGTGTACACTCAATATAAGATGAATCAAATCGGATGAACAAATAAAATTGTGGAAACGTTAGGGCTTGGTCGGAATATCCGCGACTCGACTTGTATGGGTGATGGAGAATTTCATCAACATTGCTCCAGACTTCCACCTTGGATTTTCTCTAAATTTTTCGAGGATGGTCCTGGGAGTGTATACTCAATATAAGATGAATCAAATCGGACGAACAAATAAAATTGTGGAAACGTTAGAGCCTGTTCCGAATTTACGCGACTCGCGCTCCCCCCTTCCGCCCTTCCCACATTTTGCCTCCCACCTATCCTCCCTCGCCCTCCTCGCATTCCGTATTCATTATTCACCTCTCCCCTAGCCATCATCTGATCTCGACTCGACGGATCTCTGCTCGCACTTTCCTAGCCGCTATTTGGCTCAAAAAAGCTCATTTCAATGATCATAATAATAAAGGAATCCAAACAGGTATATTAATGGTAAAAAGTGATCTCGGAACGAATTCCGCTGTTTCATGATGGTTCCGGATCTTTTCCGGATCTTTTAGAATACTGTCTGTTCCGAAAACAAAGACATTGCGAAAACCAGAGGCGAAAACATCGGACATCAACAATACATAACCTCAAAACCGGTCGATCCAAAGCGAAGCGTGCACGTGTTGACTTCAATTATTTCCTAGTCTTATTGCTTTACTCCACCAGAAAGTTTCATTTTATCTGTAAAGGAAGAGTTTTTGAATGTTGCAAATATTGTGTCATTCATTTTTACTTGACTGACCATCAAGTCCTCACATTATAAGCACATTTTTAATCGTTTATTTGACACATTAGGAACTTACCGAGCACCCTCTCCTTGCGTGATTCTGCAGGTCATTCATTACTTCGTAAGTATTTTAAAGTTAATTAAATATTCAATTTTCCATTGAATGAAACTCTTAATGGATCTTCAAAGATTGCAAATGTAGCCAGCACCTTACTTACTTCTTAAGTATCAGTTCCTTCTCAGAGTGACTTACCTTCTGTTCTCATGATGCATTAGATGCGTTGTTGTAAGTATCAGCAAGATGTAATGTTGAAAGTCGCATGATGTTGGAACAAAAGTGACCAAAATATCAATGTTCAGTTGGCATCTTGGGCCAGCGCACTGTTAATGGTGCTGAAACAATTACTCATTGAGATGAGCGGGCAGCTATGTGAGAACACTAAGAACAACTCGACGGTTTAAGTTGGCAATCACTTAGCTCGGTTTGCGACGTCGTAGACTTCCTGTCATACATTAACTTTTGACAGAAAACGACTCAATGGCAACTCCTTAAAACTGCCGTGATTTTTCTACTCTGTGCGAAGAAATTTCTGCAAAAACTTTGAGGAATTTTTTTTTTTTGTAGAGAACTGTAGAGAGGCAATCCACTATTAAGTGTTCAGCACAATGTTGAGAGAGAGGTTAGTTTATCACGGGGTTGGGGTGTAGACCCAATGGCTACATCCCCGAGCACAGTTAGATTTTAGGATATATCACTGTCCTGTACTAAGGCTCTCGATTTTAATTTTGATGGTTAGCGAATATTTCGTTGCTTTTTACAAAGCATAAAGCAACAACGCGAGATGGTTTCATTTCATTGATAAGTGGCTTCGTTCGTGGGGGAGTTGGGTACGTTGACTGCTGAGTGACGTTAAATGGTATTGGCAGTCGCTGAACTGCTGATAACTGTTATCACCTTGTTTAGATACAAGGCTTATGCTGATATTAGGATTATGATTATTGGAGAGCAGAATTTGTTTACATATCATCTTCGTGGTTGTGGTATATGTCGAGGATGTATGTCCTTTCAGTCTTCTAGGAGTGAGTGAATTATCCAGCAGGGAGAGGGCAAGGGGATTAGAGTGGTTGTGTAGTCGGCTTTTATAGCGATGCGTTATCCTAGGTATGACGGCATCTGATGTCAATTTGTTCTCCTTATAAGAAAATAACGTTGAGGCGGAGATTTTCAGCCACCGCAAACAAGTTATGCCATTGCCGACTTACACCGTCAAATTCTAGTGTGCCATTCCAAATTTTGGATGATATTTGAACAGTCTATCTGCTTCAAACAGCATAAGTAACCAGAATAGACCTATCAAATATCTGTCAATTTTTTTCCCGGTGAACTGAGACCTTAGGTTGTTCTCCCCGCTGGGAGGCTCTGGCAGTCCTGATTGAGGGTTATTCAGGCCAAACTTGCACCTAACATCCCATTAGGTCCAAATATCTCTGTTTATCACCTGAAAATTAGATTTTAATAATAATTCTAAGTTGTCCTCTCAGTGTTTCTCCTTCAGTGCACCTCATCCGTAGCATAACCATGGGTGTTGAGAAGGTGGAAGATACCCAAGACACAGAAACCTCCTATGAAGAAGCATGTAAATTTGTCAACGCAATTGCCCAACCTCTCGCCTCAAAGAAAGTAGCAAAGAAAATTTATAAACTAATTAAAAAAGGTTTGTAAGAGTGTATTCATATCAGTATTCAACTAGACATTTAACTCAGCTCATTACTTAGTTTTACGATCACCTAACAAAAAAATTTAATTCAATTTGGAATATTTTTGTGTCACAAGTAACATGATACCATTGAGTACATTCAAATATACAAAGTGGAGTTTCAAGAAACTTTCCTAGTTCAGCCTTTACCTTGTAAAGGACAATGGAGGTATGGAGGCCTTTCAAAACCCAGCTCAATCATCATCATTGAATGAATAAAATAAAAGGTAACACATACGCATGGGTAAAGTTTGAAAAAACACTCAAAAGCTCCAAGCTTCATCCTCTGGAATTAGATTGTTTAAAATTTCCCTTGATTTATTTTATGACTGCAACAGAGGATTAAAAGAGTAAAGCAGACAGTAGACAGTAATTTTTGTGCTCTTGGACCAAAAAGTTGGCTTATTTCTGTGTTTGGCATATTCTTAAATCAACCACAAATGTATCCCTCATACTGCAAACTCCTTTTGGAAATAAGAAATCATTTTGGCATTCTTAGCGATGGCTGAAATGCAATAGAAATTTTGATCAAGGTGAACCAGCCACTGTGTCACCAAGTAAGAATTATATTTGAAAATTAAAGGCTACTTACAGTGAGAGGTGATCAGAATTTTAGTAAAAACAGAGCATTCTTCATTTAGGATTTTAATCCCACCATTTTCAGCATGCCCAAACAACTTGTGTTTTTTAATGTGGTATTGGTTGTAAGTTACTAATGTCAGACTTTATCTTTTTCTATCCGGATTTTTTAGCCTCAAAACAGAAGCTTGCGTTTGCTGGTCTAAAAGAGGTCCAAAAGAGGCTTAGGAAAGATGAAAAAGGGTAAGCGTTTCATTTCGTTGTCAGTAATAGTTTAGTATAATGTTCAGAGGAAAAGGAGCCGGTCTGCATACTTTGACGGTTTTTACAATTCAATAATTTCACCCTTCAAGCGGCAAGTCAAGTCATGGTATGTCTGGTCAAATCAGAGTTTGTCAAATGCTCCCCTGATATATTTACTAGTCACATCATTTTTTGACTCGACAAAAGCATAATTGTTAGGGCTGTGCGAATATTCGCAATTCCTACTATTCGCGCCGCGAATATTCGCCGAATATTCGCTTCGTCTGCCTCGCGCATTATTCGCAAATTGCGAATAATCGTGCCGTCGCGTATAGTGAATTTTTGAACTGACATTTTCACATATTCGCGCCGTCACGAGGAACGAATTTTCAAATATTTGCGCCATCAAAAATAACGAATTTCCGAGTGGCAATCGTGAAATGTATTGAGGACCTGCGCAAGGCTTCCGCTTCCATCCGAGACATCGTGAACGGCGTATTTCCTTTGATCTTAACCGACTTTGCCGAATTTACGAACAGCGAGCGCAATTGCGCCTGGCCCGCATATCTTGGTTGCTCCAAGAGTACCTATTGTAACATTTGCGAATTTTCCCACGTAAAAAAGTCATTTCAAATTATTCGTTTTACTATTTGTAGCTGTGAATAATTGAATTAAATTCTTCGCTATTCGCATCGCTATTTGCGAATAGTTGCCGAAATTATTCGCATTTCGCTTCGTTCGGAAAATTCACTATTCGCACAGCCCTAATAATTGCTAAAAAATTAAATAAAAAGCTATTGATAAGCTCAGATATTTGACTGCACCTATTGAAAATTGTCGAATTTGAATTAGGTACATCATATGGGTTGCTCAAGTTGAAGATAGTGTATCTCCTTTGCAACTCTTCAAAATCTTTGATTATGTTTTATTTTTTTAAAAGAAAAATTCCTCTTAAAGAGGGAAATCCTCTTAAAATCTGTGAATATTATCAAATTAATGAAAAAATTTCAAAAAAAAACAAACAATTATATCTATACTATAAGCTCCGAGACCTCCTAATTTTGCGAATTTCCTATAAGGATTTAAATATGAGCAGAGACTTGCAACATCGTAATTAGGGATATGTAGTTTTTGAAACCATCAATATATTAGTGGTTCAAGTACGAAACACCTTTCAAAATAGTTTCATTTCCACTCCTCTTTACCAGCAGAAAAACAAGCTACCTTCATAGCTTGAAAAGTATAAAGTATATTCTCCTAACAGTGAAAAAACATCAAGAAATTAAGTTGACTAGTTTTCCAAAAAATAAGAAATAAAGTATGACAGGAAGTCTGCAACGTCACAAATGGAGATATGTGGTTTCACTTGAATTACACTTGAATGACCATTAAATCCTCCCACATTTTATATATAAATGAATTAATCAACTTCGTTTCTGTCATCGAGTACAATAGCATAGCTATCATCCTTGCCATCCCTGTCAGGCAGATGTGAATCGAAAGGACACAAACATTGAAGAAGGGAAGGTTTTTTTGTGATAGCAGGGTACAAAATCAGAAAAGACGGGAGACAGCACAGGAGCTTCAACATTCTTAAGACGTACCTCTGATATGTTTCTGTATTGCGCATCTCAAAGTCTCTAATTCTTTTTATATTTTGCTTTTTTCTTTGATGTAGAGTTGTCATTTTGGCTGGTGACATAACACCCGTTGACATCATAAGCCATATACCAGGAGTCTGTGAACTGAAAAGTATTCCTTACTGCTACACGCCGTCACGGAAAGACTTGGGGACTGCAATGGGTGTCTTCAGGTGGACTGCAATGGTTTTAGTCAAGCCTCATCCTGATTATCAAGAACTTTACGATGAAATCTATGAAATTTTTAAAAATTTGAATCTTCAACTCATCTGAAATGATCAATTTTTCAAATCATCAGCTCTCAGGTTTACTTTAAAATTCATCTCTGGCATAGTCTTTCTTGTCAGTTCAAAACAAAACGAAGATAGTGTCTAAAAGAAGTGAAGTAGAATTTTGGCATTTATCCATTTTTTCCCTAGATTATAAGACTAATCAGAATGGGTTCAAATTCATCCTCACACTAGTCCAGTAGAGCCTTCTAGGAGGGCACTCAATGGCTAATTCGGCCCCCCTCCCCCACCTCTGCATAAAATTCACAAAAATTGACCAAATTTTATGATTTTATCCAAACTGTTGCATGATTGTTTCTGTATAAAATTATACTAATCAATCAGTTTCAAAAGGAGTTATATCCATTCTTGTGTCGCTAAGATTAAGAATTTGTTTGTGCCTGTTCAAGCAAATTATTTGCTAACAAAAATTTTTTGGTTCTAAAATGTTTCAAATGAATAGTAACATTTTTTGAATCTACACCTCTGCCTTCGATCCAAGAAAGTAAATCTAGTGGCCTGCATAGCCTAGTAGTAAGAAGTGAAAGGATGGACACATCCCCTTAGGTGACTCATATCAAGTCATCAGCAAAGAAGTTGTGAGGCTTTTTCAATGTTTATCATGGTTAAGAAAATTCGATAAAAAAAAATACCTGCCATTCGACTCTCGTAATTTTCCTCATATCCGTCAAAACATCTCAAATTAATTTATATAATGTGTGTATTATTCTCTCAATACATAGAATCCTAAAGAGAGAATGAAAGAGTTAGTGCCCAAACTTTTTATTGCACCTGATTTTCTCACCTAATTTCTCAATATGAAGTTAGTTAACAGCAATTGTTTCGGTGTTAATTCATCTCATCATGTTGACTCAAAACTGAAGTTCTTTATACTAAGTAAGTGACTTTTTTTCCCCTTATTAAAAAAGTGTTTCTATTTTTATAGTAAAGTTTAACACAGTATGCCACCGGCTTTTAGTAAAAGTAAAATTTTAATTTACTCAGAAATCAGAATCAATGAACGTACCTCTCAATTTTACCTAGTTTTTCTTTGTATGTACCATTAGGTATGTAAAAATGTAATACTTGCTTTTGATTTGGATGGATTCTACTTTATATGTATCTGTCTTATCCTGCTGTAAATATATAAATGTCTACAATTTTTTATAAAGCAAAATGTGGCAAGACTTATCAGAATTTGTTTATTTTCTAATCCCAATATCCCAATTTGAAATGATACTAACCTGTAAAAAAAATTTAAATCAAAGCTGCAAGGCTAAAATCAAAACTAACGCAATGTTTAATTTTTTTTTCAGTTCTAACCACTGACTTTTTTATGCAGATAGGGTGCCAGATACGCCATAAAAATGGTGGTCATTCATCGACAGCCAACAACAAACCGTGGTCTACTTAAGTTTTTTTATTATATAATGTATGACTGTTTTAGGGAAAAGGGCTCTTTCATAGGGATTCAGATTTGTAAGGGGAGTGACTATTGTCATGTTAGATAAACGAATAGGAACCCAGGAGTTTCCCAGAGAAACTGTGGTATCCCTGAAAATGAGCTCCGAGCAATTTAATTCATTTTTGTTCTCTAAAAGGGCATGAGGTTCATGATATTTTTAAAACCCCTGCAATGGCTTCAATGTATACCATGAAACGAATAGGAATAGTGAAATCATAATTTTGAAAAAAAAAGAAAAAAAAAATTCTTGACCAAATGCCTACACACGCTGCTCCTGAAAAATCATGGAAACTGCATGTAATAAAAATGAATACTGTGGTTTTCCATGTGAGGAACCAATGAGGTACCCCTCCCTACCGCTATCTGGCTGTTGCCACATGATTCATTTTTCCTGCTTTTTCATCCGTAAAGAACTCGTGAAGCAATGGAGGACGCATGTTACGTCAGAGACATCTGACAGCTCTGTTTACATTACAACCTAACCTCACTATCTGTTATCATCTAGAAAAGTCTCCAAGTCGACTCGTCATATTGTGCAACTATCAAGCTCTCCAGATTATTTTTCTAAGTAGCTAAATATTTTAGCGTTTTTTCTATTTGATTTCAAAGTTTAGCTCTGAAACATGTCCATCAATACGGCCCATGCAAACGGAGGTGTTCTAATCCATGCTGGAGAAGTGTAAGTATTGAAACTCTATGACAAGCAAGCTCGCACATTCAGTTTTATGAATGCATTTTCTATTTATATTCTCTTCAAACTCATCGGTTTTTGAACCATTCGCGTACAATTTGAGCAAACATACTCTCTGCAAAATTCCTCAAGCCTGAAGCATTCTCCTCTTTGTTTCCTCGACTCCCTATCCATCCTAGGGCCTTGTAGAGAAACTACTTGAAGGTACGTAAATGCAGGCTTTGCAGCATTCGTTGCACTTTTGCATTTAAATTCAAGTTTAACTTTCTATCTCTTCAGTAAAACGATTCGAATGTCAAATTAGCAATTAGAAAGCGGTAATAAATCTATTTCTTAATTACTTGCTCCGTCCTGAAATCATTAGATCCACCCATTTTCACAAACAGTCCTTTTCTGTATACCAGTGGCAGTTTTGAAACTTCAGCATCATCTTCAAGCTCAATATCCCAGGTACTTCTTTTCATGTTACTTTTCATCCCTCTCAAACCTTAGGTTTGTTAATTTGGATGGTGTGAAGTGAACATTTCAATTTTAATCTTGTAAGCCAATAACAGAATAGAATCACCAGCATGTATCAGTCGTCAAACCCGACGATAGAACTGGGGAAGGGAAAAAATCAGGGTGCTCCGTGTGAGAGATCCGTACGCTCTCCGTGCTGCTATTGGCCAAGCGTCATTCTGTGATGTCACGCGTACGGACTAAACAAGATAGGGAAGCGTTTTCCCATAAGGTTTTGGTCCGTGTTGGTATAGGGAATGTCTGCGCGGCACGGATAAATCCGTACGCTTGGAATCACTGGAAAAAATAGACAAATGTCACATCAAAAAATTGCACCATTCAACAGATATTTACATGCTAACCAATGGGTGATCTGATGATTGGTGCATTAGACTGATGTGACTTTTGTCTATTCTCCTCTTTCCCCGAACTAAGATCCTTCATTTAGCTCAGCACATTTTTTTAATTTCACTCTAACAATCCAAAAGTTCACTTAAAAGTGCTCGGAAACTCTGAAAATAAACTATTAGCCTGTTGATTGAGCTTTGTTGCTCGGTATCACACTAAGGTGATTCATCGCCAGGCTCTTGGAAAGATCGAACTGGTGTGTGATGTATCGCATCAATGAAGTGAAGGATCTCGGTAGTTTTTTACTTTCTAGCCCAAAAAAGGATGTAAACCCCTGCGCTTGAGTGTAGATAATCATTCTCAAAAAAAAAAAAAAAAAAAAATACAGAATTTGTATTTGAAAAAAAACAACACATTTGATACATTAATTGACCTCGGTATCAAATGCAATGTTTTTTTAGCCAAATCCTGTTTTGATTTCCCCGAATTTTGCAATGTTCTCAGTGGAGGATTATTCTGTATACTCGTCCTGTGGGGTCTTTGCATTAATTACTTATATGTATCAATTTTGCCTCAATTTTTTGTTTTATAGAATTCTATTGTTCTCCGATAATGTGCATCTCGAATTTCATGGCCAAGATCAGAACCCACTCTTCAGAGGAAGTAAAGTTGGCCGCTTATACCTCACAACTCATCGGATGGTCTTTACAAACAAGGACAGCCATGATGGCATGCTGTCATTTAGTTTCCCCTTTGTAACCATCAGTGATGTAAGTTTATATTATATCAATTGAAGGGAGTTGAGCAGATTTGAGTTAATGATTTATCAAAACGGGTCTAGTAATTCTGTTTTATTATGTATTAGAAGCGCTTCATCCAAAAAAGAATATTCCATTTCAAAAGTTAATTTTAAAGGTGGAATAGTTTGCTTTGAGTCATTTCCAATTTACAGAAGGGAACCGAATACATTTGAATTCAATTCAGCTGTGCTCTGTTGAATTTTAGCAGGTTTGCTAATGTGTCCTTGCCGAAAACTCAACAATGCAGGGGCAACTATGGAAAGTCTCGTGGCAACCAAATTTCCATGGAATTTAAAATCGAATTCACCATAAAGAACAAGTCCACTTGATTTCTCTCCATGAATTCGTCTACCCTCTTGGTACGATCTGCCTCAGATAGAGTGGTACTTGGTTCTTTTCTCTGATTTGATTTTGCCCATTTTGGAAACAGCAATGCAGAACCAGTGACAGAAAACAGGAATGATTAAATAGATAAAGAATTTATCTCAATTTTTTTAGTGCAAGGTATTAGAGAAAATTCAAACATCAGTGGTTCTAAGGGATCTCTGGCAGCAAGTGTGTATTATCTATCACCTTGATTCTTTCTAAATCAGCTCAATGTGATTTGGTTCCTTTCTGCCAAACAATGTCCAGCCATTAATGTTACGTTACGCCATGTTACGTATCGACAGTGTAAGTTGGCAATCACGTAACTCGGTTTGCGATGTCGCAGACCTTCTGTCATACTTTATTTTTGAACAGAAAACTACTCAACGGCAATTCTGTAAGACTGCTGTGATTTTTCTTGTCTGTGTGAAGAAATCTCTGCATAAACTTCAAGGAATGATGTCAATTTGTTCTCCTTTAAAAAAAAACATCTAGGCGAAGATTTTTAGACACCACAAACGAGATATGTGATTCCGGACCTACGCTGTTGGTATACGTCTTCGAGAAATTTCTTCGAAGTAATTATCTGCCTTGTATATTTTCAAAATTCAAATGAAAGAAATGCCAATAACATCCTTAAACTTAATGCAAGAGCTCAGTGCCTATTTTTCCAAATTCAAATTTAAGAATGGATGCAAAATTGCAATTTCTCTTCAAAAATCCATTTCCAAACACTAATCTAAGTGCGAAGCGAATAAAATAGAGGATTGAACAATTCTTTAAGAGGTTTGCAGACTTGTGTCAAGGGAGCTAAAAATTTCAACTTTCAGAGTTAGGTATTCTATGAACAGTCTGAATTTTATTTTCATATATATATCTCCCAATTTTATTTTATATTTTGTAGGTAGAAATTGAGCAGCCAGTTTTTGGAGCTAATTACATCAAAGGTAAAGTCCGTGCACAACCTAATGGAAACTGGGTCGGAGAGGCTAAGTTCAAGTTAATGTTCAAGAAAGGAGGGGCTATTGAATTTGGTCAAGCTATTTTGAAAACAGCGGCCATGGGTAAGTCAGTAAAATGTAAGTACATAGTGAGGAAACAAATTTCTAAGCTTAAAATATTCACCTTATTGCAATGGATGTCCTGAAAGTTTCGTCATGAACCCCTGAGTGCATAAACAAATGAAGCTAGCAACATGAGAGTTGCATGAGCTTTCAAATCATTTCATTAGCACTCTAACACAACCTTGTCAAGCTTATTTGGTGAAAAATTTGCTGAGTTTCAGCAATTTTCAGTTGACGTCTGCACAAAACTCCTCTAGACCCCTTCTAAAATTTGGGGAGGGGGAATTTAAATTTAAATTTAGGTACTCAAGTCCTTTATTTACCTTATTAATATTGCATAATTCTTACTAATTAAATTCATAAAACCTATTCTTCTTCATCTGATAACTCCTCTTTTTTTAATCTTCCAAAATTTTGGCCAGCATTTTTAGTGCCCAACTGATATGATTGTCGCTACTTAATCACAACGCAGAGAACTTTGACCAAATGAATTCAGTAAGATTGCATTGGTAAGCTAATGAAATGCTTTTCAAGCCCATACAGTCCGCATCTTATCGGCTCTATTTATTTTTTCGAATAAGGGTTGATGGTCTCATTTCTGGACACTCATTGCTTAGTCCTTTTTAACCAATTCAGGAGCAGTGTTTTAAGAACCAATAATTTTAACCAACAAATGGGATGTCTTTAATTTATTCCTTCCTCTTTTTTTACCTTTACCTACAATAGATGACTTTATTTCAAAAGATCTAAAACTTTTTCAAAGTTATTTCATCATTATTTGTACTTTTTTCCAGCCATGTGAAAATGTGTGGTCTTAAAACGTTGCTTTATCTCAGAAAATAAAGCAAGTAGAGTAAATTAAAGTTATTCAAGTTCAAAGTTATTTCATTATTATTTGTACTTTTTTCCAGCCATGTAAAAATGTGTGGTCTTTAAGTGTTGCTTTACTCTCAGAAAATAAAGCAAGTAGAGTAAATTAAAGCAAAACTTTACCAAACAACTTCTAGATGGCTGGAAATAGTTACGAATTCTGGTCAAACAATATACCTATTCAGTCATAAAGTTACATTACTTTCGTTTTTTCAAAATAATTGGACCATTAGGGGAAAATTATCAAAATTATGGAAATTTAAAAGGAAAAGAGATCGTTTTTAGAGAAAGAAAGTGTGTTACGGTTAATTAGAGTAGCTTTTCTCTCACTTAGTGGGAGGTAGGAAGAAAAACGGTGGGCTCCTGTTGTTCCAGAGCAAAGAGTACATAGAGTCATCATGCAAGTGGAATAGCTGGCGCCACTTTTAAGCATTTTCCTGGTCCTGAATTACGCTCCTGTGTCACACCAGGTAACTTTTTCGATACATAATCGATTGTCTTTGGTACACGGAGACCCAGCCATCGGATGTAAACCAAGAAGATAGGAATTACTACGTATTCCACATCGCCATTTTAGATGGAACATGTATCGAAAAAGTGATCGAAGCTCGGCGCACACTTTGCTCAGACCAGAACCTGGCGACCAGAACATGGCGCCAGCTCTCTTATCTACATTTCGACTTCATGTACTCTATGTTCTAGAAAGATGCTCCTTACACTGAGCATACTGCGCAAGAGTTATCATACAAAATGTCATGATTATATCTAATTTTTTGTGAAAGAAGGTTGGCTAGTAGGCCGTACCGTGACATTAAAGATACTGGACCGGGTAATGATACATTCCTCTTTTTGTAAAAAGAAAAAAAAGAGTTCCATTTTTTATTGGGTTGTAAAGAAGTTTTTTCATCAAGGTTGAATCCATTGCTTTTAGAAAATCTCTTCTATAATTTTGGTGGTAATTTCCAACTCAAGGAGTTATCTAGACTGCCATGCTAAGAAAAACGCCACCTGAGCCTTCAGGCTTTGCCCTATCTGCTTTGATTAAATACGAGTTCATTGGGGAAGTTGTAAATATTTTTCTTTCAATTCTTTAGACAATTTTATGCAAATATTTCAATGAAACATGGACATAACTTTCTTTTAAAATAAATTTATCAGAGCTTTGGCAACATTTAAATGCTCTTGTGGTGCTTTTCCCGGCAGTAGAAGGTACTAATCTAACAGTGTATCAAATATGTCTAAGAATGACAACTCCGAAAAATCGTTAGACTAAAATGGATGGTCTCTATATTATTAAAGAGATAATTTTTTTTTCCTTGCTTTGATCTCCTTTATTTTCATAAAAGGGTCAATATTCTAATGATTGCGCAACATTTGCAGTATAAGTTGATTGTCCTCTTGAGATATTTAAAGTATTTTCTCTCCAATAAGACAACAGTGGGAACATTGAATTTCACACAAAAAACGTCAAGGGCGCTATTTTTTGCATGTGTTTCCTCATTCTTTGCCTCTTGGCTAACTTTCCTGTTCTTCATTGCAGCCAGCCAGCAAGCACAATCGGATAACCCCCCACCATATGCCCCCCCTCCAGGGCCATGGTACCAAGCTCCCCCTCCAGCCTACACTCCTTCACCTACAGGCTACTATGGTTGGGTACCTCCCACTCATGTCTTCCCTGACCAGCCTCCTGGTAAGTTGCCAAATATCTCTCTTTTTCTCTTTCCCCCTCTTCTTCTGCTCTTTCCCCTCCAGGCCCATCTTCAGGCAGGTCCTCTTCCTAATCTGGTTTCATTGCCAAAAAAAAAAATTGAATATTAAGTGGATCCTCAACAAAAACTGAAATTTATAGCAGTCCAGGTATGAAGTTGATACAGGAAAGTCAAAGTTTTCTTTAAATTTTGAGTTCTGAGTGATTTTATTCATTTTTTTAATTTTTAATGCTCCAGTTTTTTCGCTTTTCCAATAATTGTGACTCTCTTAAATTGCCAGAACTTATCATTAAAACAGAAGCCAGCTGCTGACTCAATATTTCATGTAGAAGTTTTGGTTTTTAAAATTTTGTATTTAAGCCTGATCTATCTTTGTGAGAAATTTTTTCTACAGTGATCTGTGACCTTGATTAAGTTCATTTATCTCATTCAGAGGAAGCAAGTCATAATTTAATTCTCAGAATTAGCTCCATAAGCACAAAAAAACTCCTTCCTGTATGAATAGCTCTAGTTTAGCGTAATAACACAATACACAAGCATAGAAATTGGTACACACATCATTGAGAAGATAATAATTAACCACTGTTCATCAATGCCGCTATACAATTTAAAAAACTTTTTTGAGATTGGTAAGTAACTGTTGATACGTACAACCTTGAGAAACATCAATAAATTAGGGACTGTCCATAAATAGAGCACCTTCATAGTGAAAGCATGAATATTTTGCCCCTCCTCTTGCTCTTGGAGGCTTCAAAATCTTCTAATCAAATGTAAATAACTCCGATGGGAGAGTGGTTGTTGCCAGCTGTTTGCAGTTGTCACCTGTGAAATTCACCAATGTTCAAAGTTCATGGTTTCTTCAATACAATGTTTTGCACCATTTGTCTTTTAAATTTATGACTTTCCATTATATATGTACGTATACTCATACAAGTTCAGTTGATCTTATTGTATTGCGAGCAAATAAAAGTATATTTTCAGTGAATGTACCCTGCTTTGGCTTGCAATGTCTGCCATTTTTTGAGTCTTAAAAGCTGTATTGAAGTTTGCACTGCTGGTGGTTTAAGCTAACTGTGGGCCACTCTGGTTTTGCTATGTTGGCTCTGTTTTTTCCAATTTTGTTTTTGATGGAAATGATCCCAAGTTACTGTAGTGAAATCAATGGAAATGGTATTTTGAGACATCCCTTCTCCCTACATTTATGAAGGCATTCCATCCCCATAAATAAGTGGGAATTTTTCTCTAAAAAAAAAAAAAAAAAGTTTTGACTTGGGAGTTACTAGTGTTTGAAAGTTTGACTTTGTTCCTATCAATCCTATAATTTATTATGTATATATCACCGTTTAACCAAGATACCCAATATTCGAAAAGAAAAGTTGATCATAGTGCACCTTTATAACTGTTGCAAAGTTTCAGCCAAAATTCTAAGGTGTATCTTTGTTTCCGTTTCATTTCATTGATGTGTGATACTAATAAATTTTTGTTCATTTATAAATTAATATTTAGTTTTCTCTCAATTTCAGTGAATTCTGTGTTTATGACTGATATGCCTCCACCTTACCCTGGTATCAATGCTGGTTACAATGGGTATGCTTCTGCGCCACCTGTAGGATTCGCTCCTCCCCCTCAACCAGGTAACATTAGCCATATTTTACCCTCGTCTAAATCACTCAAAAATGGAAGAGAGTATGAAACAGGGGCTCCTGAAAAACGGGTCTACTCTCGCTCAAGATGGATGTTCTTTTCAGAGTATCATGAGGCTTTACCTTTAAACTCATAGCTCACAATCAGTATATCGATGGCTAAAGTGAGACAGGAGGTATCTCCACTGCGATGTTTCAAAATCTCCTCCTAGTTTATTTTTTAGAAGAGGAACAAGTCAACTTTATTGCCCGAAATTTATACAGAATATTTTACTAAAAGAGAAGAGGAATCAAGGAAGTTTTCAAGAAATTACGATGACTCGTTTTCCAAGGAAAACATGAAGTATGCCTGAAAGTCCACAGCGTTGCAAACGAAGATACACGGTCTCGCACTTTAGCCATCGATATCTTAGCAAAGATTTTAAGACAAGAACTGATGGATTGATCTGTCAATGATGATTGTCTGTGATTGATGTGGTTTCTGGAATAGAAGGGGAAAAATCAGTTGCAGAATGGCACTTGTAGTTGAGAATCAAGAAGTTATACAGAGCGCTGAAATATCTGCAAGCCTAGCATTACATCACTTACAACATCATCAAATTCAATGATAGGTTGATGGTGTCTCTGTCCTGGCTCCTCTTGAATCTCGCATAAGGATTTGAATGTAATTTGCAAAAAAAACTGGTTTGAATTGCTCATCTGCTCATTTTCAAGGTCATTTTAACATTTAATTATGCGCACTTCATTCACAGAAAGCCATCTATTCACTCTTCATTAACTGTCCATTCCTTTTGCCCAAGTCCTAATGCATCCACTCCTTATTTTTCTTACTCATCCCTATGCTGAAAGCCAAGGGTGGACAGGCACTCAAACCGGGGACACTGGCCCCCTCAAAGATTTGATTGGCCCATTTTTCTTTTTTCTTCTCTTTTTTCTTTTTTCTTCTCTTTTTTCATTTTTCTTCTTTTCTTCTTTTTTTCTTTTTTCCTCTTTTCCTTCTTTTTTTTATTTTTCTTCTTTTTTCTTCTTTTCTTGTTTTTCTTTTTTCCTCTTTTTTTCTTTTTTTCTTTTTTCCTCTTTTTCTTCTTTTTTCCTCTTTACTCTTTTTCTTCTTTTTTTCTTATTTTTCTTCTTTTTTCTTCTTTTCTTCTGTTTTTCTTTTTTCCTCTTTTTCTTCTTTTTTTCTTTTTTTCTTCTTTTTCTTTTTTTTCCTTTTTCTTCTTTTTGTCTTTTTTGTATTTTTTGTCTTTTTTGTCTTCTTTTTCTCTTTTTTTTCTTCTTTTTCTTTTTTTTCTTCTTTTTTTCTTTTTTCTTTTTTCTCCTTTTTTTTCTTTTTTTTTCTTCTTTTTTTTATGTGAAGTCCATAATCACCCTAAATAATGACTGGCTCGCTGGCTAGGACTCTTTCTTCTGTCCCCATGCTGTCTATCTGCTCTTGTTGAAGGCTCTAAAGCATTGTCAGGTTACCTTTAGTCTATACATGAGAGACCTGTAATAGTAGATTTGAAGGCTCACCACTAGTTGTTCAATTAAATTAAGGAGGTCTGAACGACCTTGTTATTTCTAAACTTCTAATGGCAGAAACTGCAGTGGGTGTTTTTGATGTCATAATTTTTTTTAAAATTTGATTTTTAGCGCTCTCTGCTTAATTGAGAAAGTAAACGGAATTTAGTTTCCATTTACCCAAGAGTGAAAAAAGATCCTTGTATTAATCTTGAGAATTATTCATTGATTAAGGTAAGGAAAATGCTGTCGAACACTTTCCGTCAAATTCTTATGGGAATTCCCGTAGCAATAGAAGGCAAAGTCATGATCTAGGAAAATTTGATAGTAGATGAAATTTTGCGCAGAGCTTTTCTGCGGGCTTCAGAAGAGATGAAGCCCCAACATGCAAACATTTTCAAAAATCAATTTTTTCTGAAACACCTAGAGTTGGCTGACAAACGCTGGACAAATACACCCATTTCAAACACATTTTGCAACCCATAAAAAACCAATTTTTATCAATTCAATCGTAGGTAATGCAATGAAAGTTCAAAGACATTCATCGTTTTCCTTACCCTCAAAGCTGCAGAGTGTAAGCTGGCTAGAAGAAGATTCATTTGTGAATTCATGCGCAGCCAAAGCCTATCTCTTAATATTTCGTCTATCCTCATTTTTATCAGTATTTATTCTTTGTTTCTATTCTGCTAATGTCTGGTAAATCATCAATGCTCTTTCTCCTTCTGTCACAAGAAAAAGCAGGTGAAGCAGCCCAAAGTGCTTACTACGATCCTAATAAACCACAATGTGCTTATGTCCCTCCTCCAGCTTACTATGTAAGTATCTGCATTATTGTATTTTAGTATCTTGATGTTCAATTTCTCTGTCTTAGGCTTGTTTTTATTATCTCTTGTCAATGAGGGATGAGGCCTCAGAGGTAATGGGGTTATTCTTGCAGGACGCTAACCTGATAAGGCACCGAGCAATAGGGTTGGTCAGTGCTTAGTAAAATACCCCGCTTTTATAAATTTCTCCCAATTCAAATTGATGCAATTTCAACTGTGCTTCTTTAATTTTTTAGTCAGCTATTAATTGTACAGACTATCAGACTAATTTATTTTGAATTTGTTGTGAAAGAAAGTTCTAGATCGGTTCATATAATTGCAACCTTTGGTGTACCATCTTTTGCAACTAACGTTGTGAGATTCCTTTCAGTTTCATCGATTGCATTTTCAAATCTATTGCAATGCTCTTTTGCTAAAGTTATGCTTATCAGGAGTAGACTCAATTTGACGCTCTCAGTCTAGATACAGATTCAGTTTGACGGCGGTGCGTGAAATCAAAGGCAAATTATGGGTTATTTTGGGTCATCCCCGGAGCATTCTCCACAGGGAACACTTAAGTAGTTCATTCTGGAGAATAATGGGAAGAAACAGTGTAACTCACAGTAAGTAGATAGGGAGAGAGAAGAACAGTAGTATGTTATGATTGAGAAAAAGTAACAGTATGTTACAGAGTGAGATGAATAGATAAAATAGTAGGATACAGTGAGGGGAAGTAAGTTAAGACTCAAGACCAATAAAATTTCTGGTCTTCAATTTATAAATCGTTGCTAACATGAGGAAAAGCGTTTCATACCGTTGAAATATATGCATATTCATAATTTCCTCCATAAGGTGTCAAAAAGGGCTGGTTTGAGTGCCAAAAATGATCAATTTGATTTTAATCCTTTCTCTGCCAAAAGGCTGTAGCTCGTTTATTTCCTTGGAGATTGTGATGTTAAGACTTGTAAAAACGTGCATATTTTAATATTTCATCTTGTTGAGTGCTTGGGACTTTATGTCAGGGTTGGTGTAGAGGGCTGAAACTTTACATCTGTGAATTTTATCACCTTTGACGCGGGTCCTCTGCTATTCAAAACAAAAGAAAAAAAATACTTCCTCTCTACCCTAGGGGAGCGAGAAAGCAAAAATCTATATGACCCGCCCCTGGGCTGTTACTTTTACTACTACTATTTTTTCTGCAATAGTTCTGTATTCTAAGTATTTATTCTGTTTTGTTCCAGGAATCCCCTCCATCATACCCTCAAAATGGCCCAAAGAAGAATAACTAATTTCAAAAGCCACCATTTATAAGTGTCAGGCACGGTAAGTTTTCCAATGATGATTTTGTAATGCAAAAAATTTCATTTAGATCGAAAAATTCGGAGTGTTCATGATGCACTTCATCTTCTCTTGGAGAAGAAAAAAGTTCCTAAGTCGAACAGTTTTGACCAGAACCTTTGAAAAGCCTCAGTCAATTTCAAAATTAAAAAAATGTTTTGTGGATCTAATACATTGAAATCTAAGTTAATAACTAATGTAACATCAAGTTTTCTTCATTTATGATTATTGAATTTAAGCAAGTGTGGAACCAAACCAAAAGGACATTCAATTGGTCAGTTGTTCTAGTCTTCGGATCGCGTTTTGATGGTTACATCTTATACAGAGTGATCCCCAAGTCCCGCACCACTAGCACCCAGGCGTCACCCCTGTAACTTTTGAGCAAATTGAGATGGATACTGTAAATTTTGGGAGAGCTCCCAAGGCAAAGAAAATGACTTTTAGGACCCCCCCCCAAAAAAGAGGAAAAAAAAAAAAAAAAAAAAAAAAAAAAAAAAAAAAAAACTAAGGGAAACATCCTAAAAATTGTCCAGAACCCTAGGGGTGGTGTGGAACTTCGGGAACACCATATCGACGGTGAAAGTCGGCAATCACATAGCTCGTTTGCGGTGTCTGAAAATATCCGCCTCTACGTCATTTTTTTAAAGGAGAACAAATTGATATTATTTCTTGAAGTTTTTGCAGAATTTTCTTCGCATTGAGAAGAAAAATCATGACAGTTTTAAAGAATTGCCGTTGAGTAGTTTTCCATTTAAAAAATAAAGTATGACAGGAAGTCTGCGACGTCACAAACCGAGTTATGTGATTGCCGACTTTCACCGTCGATATATATTAGCAAAGAATAATTAGACTTATACACATGCCAAGTTTCATCTTCCAATATTAACGGAGATATCGCTCATTGAAAAAAGCAGCGTGTGATTCCGTCCACAACAAAGTAGCATACCATGGTCTCAATTGCTTTCATTAATCAGCAATACATACATTTCCTTGACGCTATTCTCTTGCATAGTGCAAGTAACAGAAATAATGTTCAGGAAGTTTATTCTCCCAGAAATTTTGATTCTAAATCATTAAAATTTTGTTTTACAGGATAAATGTTTGATCCCTTAGTACTACTGTTCAAACGGACCACCTCTTTTTTGTTAATTATGCCTCGTGTATTCAAAATACTTTTAATTCTCAAAAGAAGGGCTGTTTTTCATTATGTTAGATGAAGGTCCTCTTTTTTTCATTATTAACTCTTACTTTCTCTTGTTTGTTTCAGCAAGAAAGTTCACCAAATTGGAACAGTTGGACCACATTTTGTAATTAGGAACTACAATTTTAGGCTCATCCCTAAAAGCACCTACCTGTTCAAGGAAAGTTATGGCACATATTCTGTTCCTAACATGAGCCAGAAATTGCAGTTCCTAATTGCAAAATGAAGTCCAGTTAGCATTGTGAAGTGAGTTGTCGAAACGTGATACTACTATGTACATCAGATATATTTATCAATTTTATGTATTTATCTCAATTTTTAATTATTTTGACTCTTGTAAGCTGCTTTCCTAAATCCTCAAGTCCGCTAAATTCAAATGTTTTTCAAGTGATCCAGAATTAAAACAAACTGATGATAAAGTGAGTTACTGTAGGTAAAAAACATAATCCAAAAGAATAATTGTATGAAAGAAAGAAAAAGAACCAAATATTCGTTGTTTTTTTTTCGAGTTTTAGAAGACAGACTTCAGGCTATCTACATTCATCACCTCCAAAAATGAAGAATTGAGCACAATCATACTCTTAAAATAAAATGTCACTCACTTCATTTCACGCTCTTTGCTCTATGTGTAATTTGCAATGCTTGGCCATAATAATTCACCTTACCTAATCCGAATCATGGATGGATTCCATGCTTGTCCAGAATGAAGGAATAGAACCTTCTCTGTAATAGCTGTAATCTTGAACAACTCATTACTTAATCAAAATGAATCGGTTTGTTATGTATAACTATTTTGAGTCTGCTTGCATTTTTTTAAAGTATCAAATGAAAGTAAAGATTTTCCTTTGATAATAATTCATGTCTATGATTAGGAGGAAATCTTATGTCTCAGGTCTAACTTTGATTCTTTAAGTTCTGGAGGGACACTCTTTCCTCAATAACCAATTTGATAGAAAAACAAAAGCATTTATTTAGGTAACAGAATCAGGATTGTTTGATGAAACATTTGCTGATTTTAGCATCTTAAATGTCTGCTAAGAAAATACGTTTGATAAGGTGTTCGTTGGTGAGTAGAATTTTTCAATTTAAGTATTCTTAAACATCCTGAAGGTACTCACTGATAATTAACGTTGCCCCATGAAATATTGTAAGAATTCACCTGTCGAGGCTGTAAAATTTGATTGTTGCTTAACCACTTCTGTAGAGTGGGAGACCAAAGACATTCTGCAATTCCACATGTTGCTCAAGGTCGGAGTGCATACTTATTCAGGTCCTTTTAACTGTCTAACATCGTCAAGAGGAAAGTTCTCGTGCAGTATGAAACTTGAAGCGTGTAATATAATCTCGCTTTATATGCTCGGGCCATTAAGGCCGAAGTAAATCCTTAAAATGATACTCTAAAATCATAAAGCCTACCACCTAAAAGTCAATATAGAAGTGGAAAGTCATGAAACCCAAGTCTGTCTCAGTCAAGTGACAAGCTATGTGGATATTTGTCCTAATTTTTAAGATTTCTTTGTTATTGTTTCGCATGTAAGTGTATTTTGAATTCCATTAAACAGTTCTTTTTTAACTTGTCTTTTCTGTTTTCTAATTTTCTCATTGCATAATTTATTTAAAGTCTCTAAAAAAATCACAGATTATTCCGTATCGCGAACATTCTATCCCACCTATGCTAATGAAGCATGAGAATTTTTGGAAGCTTTGAGCTACAGGTTATGCAACTTCAGAAAATTAAAGTCACTTCTCACACGAAGTAAAAGCAATTGAGTGACATGTGAGACGTTTCATTTTGAATCTTAATGTTAACCTTTGTTAAAATTATTAATCATGATTTCTAATGATGGTCTGCAATGAAATGAGATCCTATAAAAATGTGCTCCTGTGTGAGTTTGCTTATTCTATGTTACAAAATCACCTTTCTCAAGCAATGCGCTACTTGCTACAAAAATATTTGGCCAAGCGGAGAAACGGCTAACACAAAAAACCACTTAAGCTGAAACTTTCTTCGGCCCCTCGATTGTCTAACTTGACATGCTTTTACTGTAATGAAATTGCATAGCTGTCTTCAAAAAATTAGCTCCACCTGTACAGCGTCTCAATGATCCTGCAGTTTTTAGGTAGCCAAATGCATGTTTTACTATGAAGAGGTTGTTCCATCTACCATTGACACTGGGCCCCGAATGAAATCTCCTCATCTTTTCAGGTATCAAAGGGCATGGTCAGGGACACCCAAAAATGGTTGAATTTTTTCCAAATTCCCCCCTGGGGAGGGGGGGCGGGGGGTTATATGAAAAACGGTTTTTTGGCTATAACTTTTGAACGGTTTGAGATATCGATTTGAACTTTTTTTTAAATGAAAGGTCGTTTAAAGAGCTTTCTTTTGGTATATTATGTTTAATAGTTAGGTCAAGTTTTGACCAATTTATGGCCTGTCAAAAATTTTCCATGAGTCCAAAAATCAGATTTCTGTAGTTTAGAGCAGCGACGATCGCATGCAGATGAACAAAAAACTGTTCAACTTATAGCCCTCTCTCTGACGGTTAAAATGAGCCCAAGATCATCTTGGGGAAACGATTTGTCTCCGAGTTATGCTTCTTCAAAGTTGGCGCGGCGGGGTCCGCTTCCGCGGGGCAGCGCTCCGGAGTACGATAGTTCACTCCCACCCCCCTCCCGTCATGCCACGCGACGCAAACCGAGGAAGACTACCTTTAATGATCATTTGAACAGATAAATGCACACAATATACGCTATTATGGTGTACAAGTATTATTAAAATTATATTAATATACTAAATAGAAGAGTGGAATCTCACCGAATTTATCATCACCGCAATCCATAGGATCATCGGCAGTGTGATCCGCATTTTCATCCTCATCTTCGTCGTCTGAAAAGCCAAAATCGACTTTTCTGAGAGGGAAGCACTCGTTCAAAAAGGCTGAAGGCGCTGGTTTTTTGTGATAGCGCCCGTAAAACAAATACGAGCACAAGGATTGATGGTACGCGCACCGTTCTTACATGTGCAGTAACTTGCTTTAATGGCCTCGCTGGATTTTTGACTGGTGTCGATTAATATAAATATATGATATTCTTTTTTTGATTTATGCCTCGATAGGATCCGCGATCGAAGAAAAAGAGGCGAATTTACGGAAATATCATATTTTTGAAAATCTGGCAAAAAGTTATCCTTCGTCACTTGAAAGCAATATTTTCCATCAGCAAAATGGTCTGCAATATGACTTGCTGCAAGTCCAATTTGATAACTTCCCGAGAGGGTGTCAAGATCTTCGCTCCTCCACTGTTCTAATTGTTCAAAATGATCTGTCGTCAGGTTTTCAAAAACTACTTTTTTTCGGAGCCATTTCTCGTCCTCAACAATTTGTTGCACAATATTCGGCTCATTTAATTTTTGGAGCATTTGAATGGCAATTTTTGCGTCGTCACCATCACTTTGCAGGCGTTGAAAATATAAATTATGTATCGCGGACACTATGCGATAGTCGTCAAACAAATTGCCGGATCCAGGTATATTGCTTCTCGTTTTATAGAGCGTTTTCAATATAATTTTAATAATACTTGTACACCATAATAGCGTATATTGTGTGCATTTATCTGTTCAAATGATCATTAAAGGTAGTCTTCCTCGGTTTGCGTCGCGTGGCATGACGGGAGGGGGGTGGGAGTGAACTATCGTACTCCGGAGCGCTGCCCCGCGGAAGCGGACCCCGCCGCGCCAACTTTGAAGAAGCATAACTCGGAGACAAATCGTTTCCCCAAGATGATCTTGGGCTCATTTTAACCGTCAGAGAGAGGGCTATAAGTTGAACAGTTTTTTGTTCATCTGCATGCGATCGTCGCTGCTCTAAACTACAGAAATCTGATTTTTGGACTCATGGAAAATTTTTGACAGGCCATAAATTGGTCAAAACTTGACCTAACTATTAAACATAATATACCAAAAGAAAGCTCTTTAAACGACCTTTCATTTAAAAAAAAGTTCAAATCGATATCTCAAACCGTTCAAAAGTTATAGCCAAAAAACCGTTTTTCATATAACCCCCCGCCCCCCCTCCCCAGGGGGGAATTTGGAAAAAATTCAACCATTTTTGGGTGTCCCTGACCATGCCCTTTGATACCTGAAAAGATGAGGAGATTTCATTCGGGGCCCAGTGTCAATGGTAGATGGAACAACCTCTTTTCCTTGAAGATAGATCTTAGTATTTCTATCGTTCATTAAATGTTCAGCAATCCTTCAAGGAGAATTCATGGAACTAAAAATAAAATGAGTATATAATTGCTAGGTCATGGCAGCATTGCATATACATCACAGTGTTCTCTTTTTAGACTTTTTCATCACGAAAAGCTTTTGAGAATATTGAAATAAGGGTTCTGTCAAAATTTTACTCCCAGAAAAAAAGCTGATCAGCTTAATACGGCGTTGAGCAAAGAATTTGTCACTTTTAATTGTAATTTTAAGAACAAATATTTATTCAAAACAAGGTAAATTGTACAAAATTAGGAGGAAACTATCTAAACTTCAAATATCAAGACTTAACCTAAGCTCTTAAACAGCAAAATACTGAGGTTTTAATTTTGATAGTTCAAAGATACTTACAGATTTTCTATATATCTAACCTGTTTGCTTTCAACTCAAAAGAGCAAGAAATTATCAAGCCCTTTGTCTAGAGAAATGATGGGTGTAAAATTTTTAATGAATGATCTTGATGAAATTTTGTATCCTTACAAAATTATTCACTTGAATTACGAAGCCAGGAATAAATCTCTGCAAGATGTATTATCTTCAAAAAAGATAATACCTAGATTCCTATGTAGATAAATTTATGATTCTTCTATGCACAGCCATATGCAGCATTCTGTTTCTTAGTCTAGCGTCAATTGGCCATGAACAATCTTCACTGGGTCACTAAAATTGTAAATAATCAAAATTCAATTTCTCCGGTCTTGGCAAAAGAGGACATTTCTAACTCCATTTCTAATTAGAATCAATATTTTTCAAACTTCAAGAGAAACCCTCTTCTTTTTACCCAGTAAAAATGTAAAACTATAGAAATTTGAAAAACATATTTTTCTTTTTTACCACATAGGCAGTATCAAATAGGTAGCAATGAAAATTGGCCTTCTTGACACTTATGTGTCCCTGAGGAAAAAAGCTTGGTGAAAATCTTGCTTATTGCCAATAATTAGTTGAAAGTTATTTGTTGGATGCTGGGAAACACACATTTTTCTTCCCTCAGATTCATGATTTGGCAATTATGAAACATGTCAAGGGTCAGGAATAGGTGAGTAAAGTAGCATTCTGTAGACTATGTACATCCAATAATAGAAAAATTAAGGAATCACACAAGGTAAGAAAGGCAGGGAACAAGCCTCAAGGGTATTTCTCATTCTTCTTGACGTCATGAAATTTTCCATTATTAAAGACCTAAAAAATTTAAACTTAATGGGGAACGATTGAAATTTTGAAAATATTATCCATAGTTTAAAACAAGCAAAGGAGACATTTATCGGTAACGTAAATCAACAATTTTGACTTAAATCGATAAAATTATGATTTATTGCAAGATTTTCCAGACTTAAAATCCATGGACAGGCAACGAACTAGAGGCAAAACATGCAATAATATTGCAACTTCAATGGTGGATTGAGTTGCAACAAATTCTAGCATTTTTATGTTGGAACAACTGTGCATAGAATTTTATTGAAACTTATTGCAGTCCACACTGCAGTCATTGATTAATAAGTTAATGATATCAATTTATGTAAGATAATTTTATCATGTTTTTATAGTACCAAGCCTCAGTTCAGCTGTACTGGTTCAGCTGTAACAAGTTGCGACCTTCAGTCTTATTTTTCACACAGCTAGTTTTGGCCTAATGAAAGTACAAAAAGTGAGACAGGACGAGTTGTCATGGGTTGACCATGGAGAAAATATTCGTACCTCAAAATGATTTTAAAATATCTATTTCATGAAAAATGATATTAAGAGGTCTGTAATAATGGTTGACAAAAGTTTCTTCCTACACACTTGTTGTAGCAGTGCTTGTTAAAAGCGATGTCGCATTAGCAATCAGAGTAGGAACTGGAATTGTTGAATTCAGGAACAAAGGTTTCATTGAGAAAGGTCGAATGGTTGTGAGCGGGCGTTCTTGTGTGGTGGATAACACAGTCATGGCTGTGGTTGCAACAGTAGCGACAGTGGTGGTGACTGTGGTGGCAATGGACTGCGTTGTCACACGAACTCGTTCTGATGGGAAAACACTACGGTTGTGGTACATAACAAAAGTAGGTGTCGTACATGGAGAGCCGACAGGAGGACCGAGCATTGCGTCCAAAAGGTACGCTACCAAGGAGCCACCAGTGAGTCCGATGTTGTAAGATAGAGTCATGATGTTTCCTGGCAAACAGTAAACGAACAGTTTTGGTATCAAAGTCTGACAGTTGAGCAAGGGTAGGAAATAAATACGCCATTCATTCAGGTAAGAGATCAAGCGCCAAAAAAAGAGAGATTGGGGAAAGACATAACTTATCCCGTTTATGATGTCTTAAATATTTGAATTTACCCAAATTCATTTCAGTAAAAAATACCGAACTAGATAAAATCATGAATGTTTAGAGAAACTAGTTTTATTTGATTAATACAAATAAATTTAAAAAAAAAAATGGAGCTTGGGTCCTTTTGGGAATATATTAAAGTATTTGATTTTTTTTTTATTTTTTGCTGCTTAAAACAGCTTTTTGATCTATTCCACTATGAATACCGAAATTGTCCCAAAATAACTGAGAATGATGCTGTAACTTTTGAACAAAGGTACTCGGTGAGCTGATCTTGGTCGTGCAATTGGGTGGTTTTCAGAGCCCCATAAATCTCTTCTCTTGTAGGTGAGAAATAACTTTTACAACTGCACTTTTTTTACCTGTGAGTTCTCGATGCTCATCAGCGATGCGACTTGGTGCTTGAATCATTGGTACGCTTCCAACAATACCATTGCTCAAGCCTAATAACATTGAAAAAAACAAAGGATATGCTTCTTCTGGAATGAAAGGGTTCCCACGGGGAGTGGCACAAAGCAGCAGTAGAGGAACAAGAATTACTCTCGCACTAGCAAACATTAGGAGCTGGCTGCGGGACCACTCGTATGGAACTGAGGCCAGGATCTGAAAAATAAAAATAATCTTTGTTAAAGTACTTAAAAATGTCTTTATCATTCTGAATTGATTTTGCTTGTAGATACTTTGCAAAGCTTGAAACTTCCTTCAACTTCTCAGGCGAAGTTTCAAGAAAGATGGGGGGGGGGGAGGGGATTGGCTAATTATACCCATGTATGATGCACAGCTAGCGTATGGGGTTGGTGAGGAAATTGAAGGAATTGAAGGGCAATACATGAGTATTTTTTACAACTTTAACGGATTCTTAGTTTTCTTAACACAAATGTTTATGCTTAACTTGGCAGCGGGGCGATTATTGAAATTTCTTGTTCGTCGGGACGACATAAATGACATAGGTTAAAAGGCGGAGCGTGATTGGTCGGCTATGTCTTATCGCTGCTTTATCGTGCCTTTGTCAGGTGGAATGATCGACATACAGTCGGAAACTTAAGAGGTGCCGTTAGCTTGTCGATCATTCCACCTGACAAAGGCACGACAAAGCAGCGATAAGACATAGCCAACCAATCACGCTCCGCGATTTAACCTATGTCATCTATGTCGATCCGACAAACAAAAAATTTCAATAATCAGGCTGCAGGTTTCCCTGCTGGTCATACTAAATTTTTACAATTTCAAAGGTTGTGGGAAAATTGTGTGCGAATGACTTTTTCTTCCTGGATTGGGAATTTCACAGTTTTATACTGAATTTTAAAAAATGTAGGCAGAATCATCAACTCTCTTGTCGATTACAAAAAATGCTAAAAACTGGGCTTTGCTTGAGCTCAGTTAAGTTTCCTTGACTACAAGTTGATTTCTTCGATTATAATTTATGATGGTACACAACTTGATCCTTTTACTTACCTTCCCAATAAGATCAGATGCATTAAAAACAGCCATGAGAATGACGGGCATCCATGAACCCCATTTGCAACTAATGATTTCTGATTCAATACCAGGATAGAGGCATAAGGTGACAAAATAAGCCAAGCCAATTGACAACATGTAATGCCAGATACTTTTTGCCACTTCCCATCGTGCCAGAAGACCTCCTGAGAACAATGGAAGAGATTTAAATGAGAATTATACTTTGAAAATAACAGAGTATTTTTAATATGAAGTTGCTCTGGTGACAATTCAATATTATGGTGCTACGAATTTTGCAGGATCGGCTGACTGAGTCCTAGCTCAGGGGACGTCCAATTGCTATGAGCCCTTCTTATGGTTCCTTTCCGTACTAGACAAGATTACTAACACCTAATGATCTGCCCAATTATGACAAAAACCTTGGTATTTACTGAAAGTAAAATTAAAATTTACTTAAATGAAGGGCCTGTATTGGCTTCAGCAGAAAAATGCTGGGCTAGTTATAGTGATTAGAGTAGCACTCAAATTGTTAGTATGCCATTCTCTTATTATCAAAATTACTCATTTGAACTTCAGTAAAGTAAATGCACAACATCAAGCACACTGACTTACTTTTGATATTGGACCAAACTTTAGTGGGACCCATTGATGTGTAACCGCCTGATGATTCACTCCGGAGTCGGATGACAACATCTTCAACTTTATAGGTAGTACCAGTTGTTGCAGAATTCGGCTCGTACACCGGATTTGCGAAACTGAAACCTGCATTTGATGACTCCATTGGACTTTGTTGATTAAGTTTCAACACACCATATTGGTTACGATCGGAACCTTCGATTTGATCTGTAGGATCCATCTGCAAACAAAGATGAAAAAGCCATTACAAAAAACCACAAAAATGGATTGATGAGCAAATAAAAGATACGGTTTTTTCTTTCAGGAATACATCATTTTCAGGATTGGAAGTTGGAAGCCAGTCCAGGGCTAATTTCCTGGCCAAACGTTACCATACTTCCTCTGACCATAAAAGTCCCCCCCTACACTATCTGATGTAAATTCTCTTCTTTCGTTTCTTGGAGCGTACCTTTTAGACAATTCCTTTTACAGCATCACAGGACATGTGAACCCCAACTTTTAGCACTAGCTTATACAATTCAATTATTATCTTCTCAAAATCTGGAGCCTCCTAGAATTATCTCATTTTTTTCAAGGCATGCTTATAGCCACCATCAGTCGAGAGCTTCTCATGTATAACTTTGAAAAATAGATGAGACTAAAGCAGTCAAAAAATTGACTCAGGCTGGGACAGTTACAGGGTTTTTTCTGAGGCTTTCATGTGTGCCGACTTGTTCCACATAATGCTCCTCCAAATGGGGGTAACATCAAGTAAAAGAAGTCTACCTGTATGGGCGGTAGAAACTCTTAAATGCCTCTGGCTTTTAGCGGAGCCTTGGGTGATTTCTTTTGGTGGGTACCTGCTTCTTGATGGCGTCATTGTCATTGACTTCTCCAATTTGATATTCGTTTCTTTTTAACTTTAAGAAATAGGTTGCTATTTTTTTAGCAAGAAGTGGATGGGCCCATAAGTCAACAAGCACTCTCAACTTACCACATTCAGTAATTTTAACAACACTGATCTTGAGACCAGCAGAGTTCACAACGGCCAAAAAGAGCTCTCTGCTGGGAATGGTCTCAGAATAAAATAAATGGTTTTGGAGCTTACCAAACCAAGATCCTCGGCTGGTTCCAGAGTTATTTTCTTTGATTCTCGACAAAGAGTCAAATAAAACTGAACGAAGTCTGTTTTGCGAACAACTTGATGCAAACAAAAACACACAGCCACACCAACAGCACTGATTCCAAAAAATATCAGAGTGTTCAGGGTTTGATTATCCATTATTAGTTTTGTAATAATTCTATTTACAGACACCAAAAATCCAGCACCACCTGGAAAAAACAAAACAAGCCCAATATGATACAGTGTGTACTATGCCTGGAAAACTGTCAATCAATGAAAAATAGCTGGCAGTGAAACATGGTCACTGTACACTATGATTGAATGAGTCCAAAGAAAAATATTGCAAATCCATATCAAGCATGCTGAAAGTTTTTAGCCTTTCCATTCTTTAAATTGCCCTTCCCGTTTTAAAAACCCTTATTTTCAAAAAAATTTCCAAATTATGACTTTCCAAATCTTTTTGCTTTTATTTATGAATCGCCGATATTTTCACGTTGACTCAAACCAGCCTCCCAATTTTTAAGCCCCTTCTTTATGGCCTATCCCAATTTCTGAACATTGACTAATTTTGATTTTTTTCCCCTGCCCAAGTACTCTTAACAGAAATTGCATATTGACTATACTTTTTCATGGATTTCAGAACTTTTCGAAGTAAGGAGGATTAATGTGTCAAACCACTCAAATTTGGCAAAAACATTTTCTTGGGAGTTTTTCGGTGTGAATGTAATAAAATTTAATGGAAAGAGAATCTTACATTTTCTAGTTTAAAGAGTGTTTTAAACATAATTACATACAACATTCATAGCTTAAAACACCAAGATATTTAGAATCCAAGCTCAACCATAAATTCAAGCCAAAAATCGAAAAAAATTAAAGATTTTACTTACTTTCTCCTGCCATCACAGCTTGTGTATATCGACTTGGAAGCATACTTGTGTAGCCATAAAAGCTGGATTGCTGAACTACAAATAAAACAAACAATAAATTGATAGATATGTAATAGATATTTCCATTATGAGGAAAATAATTTTAGACTGTCTGAAATGCTAGATATTCTTTGATTTTTGATTAAGCTGCGCAAATGATATTTTAGAGAAATTATTTCTGCTTGTTATGATGAGATGTGAAAGTTTTCAGGTTTCTTTCAGGAGGTGACTATTTTCTGCATGAAAAACTGCCATTGAATATATCGACGGTGAAACTACCAAACCACGTATCTCGGTTTGCGACGTCGTAGACTTCCTGTCATACTTTATTTTTTAAATGAAAAACTACTCAACATCCAGTCATGAAAATTTCTGTGATTTTTCCTCTTCGTGCGGAGAAAATTCCGTGAAAATTTCAAAGAATTATATAGATTTGGTCTACTTCAAAAAAATAAAATGTGAGCGTAGATTTTTAAACACCGCAAACGAGATACGTGGTTTGGTAGTTTCACCGTCGATATTTACTTAAAACTGTGATGATGAGAGGGATGGTTTTAATTTTTTTTTTTTTTTTTTTTTTTGAGGATTGAAAAAGTTTCCCTGTAGAAGTGGGCTATTATGACATAGCTCGGAGGTCATAATTATGTCTATTATATGTTTCATGAAGCAGTGTAATGATGAGGTCATGATGGCTATAAAAATATCTTATTACCTTCAGTATCTTGGACACCAAAATTTAGGGAAACTAATTCTTGAAAAATCGTTATCAGGGATATTTTCAATCTGTCTTACCTGTGCATCCGAGAGCAACTACAGCAACCGCTATTAAATTCATTGTATATGCTAATGTGTGGCCGAAAATTCCGAGCCAAACTTCACAGGTTGCTACAAACAACAATGTGATGAAAGAAACAAGGTAACCTGCAAAACATTATTTCATACAGATTAATGATGCATTATGCACAAGTGAGAGCTACTAAGTATTTTTACCTGAGGAGAAGGGAACACAGCAAAGGAACTACTTTACTGCACAAGTACTCAAAGTAACCATTAGATCAGTAGAGAAGCTGTCCTGCCTGAGCTCTTCCTATAGCACTTTGGAAAAAACCTTGCTCAGCAGCTTGGGAGCTGGGTAAAATTGAACTTACGGTAATTTTTTTTTACCCTTTTCCTGTATTCCAACCATTTTCTTTTAAAAAAAACTTCAGTGCTACGGGGAGGGGAGGGGGGGGGATTATCGATAAGATGTACTAACAGGAAGATTTGTTATTTGCTCATTCACTTGAATTTCTAAGATTAAAATTGATACTTTCTCCCTTGTCAATTATTCTACTCGGTTTAAGGCCTGACACATACTTACGTCAAATTTTAATCACAAATTTTCAGCGCAGTGTTCTCGATTTTTTGTCTGCTGATGAGTGCAGGTACTTCTACTTTGGTGGATGGCGCTGTTTCATTAGAAGCTTCGTCCAAATTCACTCAGACACGTTGGGAGGGCGAGTTGGGACTGGGAGGCACTCGATGAAGAAGCAAAAAAATATTTAATTTTGAAGGGAAGTTATAGATCGACGGTATAAGTCGGCAATTACATAGCTCGTTTGCGGTGTCTGAAAATCTCTGCCTCCATGTCATTTTTTTAAAGGAGAACAAATTGACATCATTCCTTGAAGTTTATGCAGAGTTTTCTTCGCACAGAGAAGAAAAATCACGGCAGTTTTACAGAATTGCCGTTGAGTAGTTTTCCGTTTTAAAAAAAACATATGACAGGAAGTCTGCAACGTCGCAAACCGAGTTATGTGATTGCCGACCTACACCGTCGATATGCTCCTTAGTACAATTTGCTGAGTGGTTATTTGCGTAATAATTTAAAAACATGTAGGTATCTAAGTTTAGAAAAATTACTGTTTTCAATAAACTTATGCTTATTCCTAAGTAGCAGAGGTTACTGCAAGTTGCGAGAGTACCTATCGTCACTTAATTTCAATTTTGTGGAAAGTTGTGTAGATTGCCTATCCTCCTATTTGAAGGCACGAAAATTATCGCGATTTTTCGCAGTAACGTTGCAACAAATTGGAATAAAAGGGAATTAAGTTAAAACATAATTTTGGGTTGCAGGTCGCATAACCTGTCAGTTCTTCCCATGTCCTCAAATTGAGATAAAATCGTGTCAGATTGCAATTTTTCAAGCACTGAACTAAATGTAAACTATAATATTTCGAGTTGGACGATATAATTAGTAGGTGCATGCTCATTGACGAAATGTCTCGCAGTTGAAATTGAAATTTTAAAACATAAATTTTTCGAAAAGTTTCAGTAGATTTCATTCTGTACTTTCATTTATTTATGCGAAAATTATTTAATTTATACTTTGTGCGAAAATTCTCGGCTTTTGTGGAATTTTGCAACATCACATAAATTCGGAATTTTTTCTCTGCATAAATACTTGCAACATTCCTGAAATCTTTGCGTTTTTGCTGAATTTTGACGCTGCATGTAAAATTTGACAACTTTTTACGAAATTGTTTATCGTCGATAAATCGTCGATCGGTCATGTTGATTGGAATTGCAGTCAATTTAGCCAATTCTGATAACCACCGAAAAATTCGAGCCGGAAGATTTTTTTTCCTGCAAAGCATCGCGATAATTTTGTGGGATTTTACCGCGCAGTGCATTTCGCGAATAATAGTCTGAAATGCAGCAAATTGTGGATATATGTGTAATATTGCAACTTCGTGGAGAAAACATCGGAATTTTATGCCGTAAAATATCGCGACTATTTCGGGTTTTTTTTTTCCTTTGAAAAATGCTAAGCATCTACTTGGGTCATGAGACAAAATTAAGAATAAAAATTCTTACCAAAAGTTATCCGCGTATTTAAAGACAAAGTTTCAACGAGGATATTGTTTGCCAGGACAGCAAAAAAAGCCATGACAATATATATGAGTGACATGTCAAACACGATGGTGGTTCCAGGATACTGCTGAGTAAAGTAATCCACAGCTATGATGAAACTGGAAAATTCAAAATCAAAAGATTAGAACATTTTCAGAAAACAGTAGGTACCTATAGGAACTCAGCGTTAGTGAGAATGAGAAATAGAGAGAGAGCTCGAACGCTCTGAGTTCGCTAAAAGTGCGAAGAAGTTTCACAGAAGAATTTGCAATAAGTCATGTAGAGGAATATTACTCCTTCATTTCAGAGGTTATGCATATGCACTTGGTGCTGCTTAGACGTCGAAATAGATGTATCGCGCCCCTTCACAGATCTCGCAGCTCCACGTTTAATCAAAGGAAAACTGATAGGATGATGATGGTTATGGATGGGTGAGGATGGGATGGAAAGGGCACAAGTTCCCTATTTTTATGGAGGGTAGATGCTTGTTTTAGATTCTCGAAGACATTAAATAATCTCTATAAGAAAGTGTTATCAATTTGCAAGAGCAAATACGAAAAAATTCGTCGAGCTTTTCTTATTTCGTGGTTTAGTGTACCGAATTTGTTTAATTGGGGTTTTTAATTATTGGTATTTGGGAGTCAAATTTGTTTGTCTTCAAAACCCCACGGCTGAATTATAGAAAATCAAAAGTAAAGAAAAAAAATGCAGAAAAAACCGATGATACCAAGAGATGGCACGAAGAAAGGGATTTGAGTTTCACAATGTCGCAAATGTCGCTCTTTTGTTGTTACTTATTCAGTTGTCCCTCCACGCATTTTTTGCGCTGATCGATGTGATGACTTTGGACTGAATCTTTACGGCTACTTTACTTGACATTTCGTAACTCTTTATGCGCAGTGCGTAAAGATAGTTTACACAAAAAACAGAAAAAAGTGGAAGACAGCAATTTTTATATCCTTTGTTTTCATTCCGCTGAGGAAAACGTTCCTCTGAATTGTAAGTCGTTGTGATGGAATGCTGGGAGACTCTGGCGCGCCGAAGCACCTAGGGTTGGTTGTATGATCGGGCAATAGATTAGAAGTTCCTGAGTCCAATACTCCGATTATCAACAATAACAGGAACACTTTTCCTCGGCGCCGTGCAGGTGCAAATCGATTTGCGTAACACCTTGATCGAAAGGTCGAGAGGACAGAAAAAAACTTTCGAAGATAGTGCTTTTGGTTAAATTCATGACACGCGTAACCGATCCCTCCCACGACTGGTTCGATCCGGAATGCCCGGGTCAAGATGCAAAATAATGGATCTTGGTCTGTGTTCAGTCGCGCCCTTTAAACATTTTGAAAAACAGGAGGGAAACCCGCGTGGATTAATCGGAAAGAGATATCTCTGATGCGAAAATGATATCCTGAGCGCAAGGGATGGGATACACCTCCTCCTATTTTAGAGGATTCAGAAGACTAGGACAAGGAGGGTGTGAGAAGGGGCGCGTCAAGTTAAAGTTGGGATGATTTTGAACGATATTAACGAGGAAAGGAGATGTGAAAAAGATTTCGGGTTGCGGGAAACGGAACGGTGGAGGGGAAGGGTTGACTTCTCCGTCCCCGAAAACACGGAAAAAGCGACTGAGGTCTGAGATTACCTGTTGTAGGGCAATAGGAACCCGACTCCGGCCAAGACGAGGGACAAATATATTCCGTTGTATTTGTCGATGGGCGGCGAGAGGTGGTTGAATCCGTTGGACATCCTCATGTCGCCGGGCATCCTGGTCTTGCCCAGCTGGATATACCCGCGGCTCAAATTCTCGTCCATGGTTCGGGTGGTCTTGACACTGGCACTCACACTAGAAAATAGCTCACTCGCACATGGCACTGGTTCGGCAAAAGCATCTCGGCTCCTTTCACGCTACGGTCGACGGAGCAAGGGCGCGAAACTCACCACCAGTCCTCGCGCCAACGGACATGGCTCGTCCGACTCGAAAAGCCAAGGGGCCACGCTAATAAACAAGTTGGAGACGACTTGGCTCCGGAAAATCCATGCGGCGCGCAGGGTCCGTTTCGCGGGAGTGAGCCACGAGCGCGCCCATCGATTTTTCCGCTTCCCCGTTTCCAAGTCGTGTGTAGCGCCCTCTGTGCCTCTCAAAGCTCCCAACTTCGCCACGCAACTCCCGACCCGATCGCTAGCGCTTGGTCCAGTCATAATTCACACTTAAGAGAGGCATAAAGCACGGCACGCTACATTTTGGATTTGTTACCCCCCCCCCTCCTCCCTACTTTGGAGACGTGGGCTCCTATCTCTCAACTCAACGCGTTAAGACAAAATAGCGTACCGCGCTCTTCTAGACCCCCCTCACCTCCCTCTCCCAAAGTAGTATTTTTCGACGGAAAATCGCGATATTTTGAAATCAAGTTGCGATTCCCTGGTAAAAATTGGCGATAGAAGCTGCGTTTCAAAATGCCATAGGAGTTCTTATAGCCGACTAAAGATGGCTATTGAAAATCATACAGCTGACTGTAGAAAGCGGAGCAAATCATATAGCCGGGCTATACGAAGCTATAAAAAAAGTATACAGTCGGGCTATAGTTCCTATCGCTGGGCTTTACACTTTATCTCCATTGGCTGCAAAAGGTTATAAGAAATTGTGTAGAAATTCGTGTGCTTTGGAAACCATTAAGTTTGATACGGAACTACCTTAATATTTACAAAACACACATTATATTTTCCTTCAAAACATATTTTTTTTTTTTTCATCAATTAAAATGAGAATAGTTCATACAGACTGTGCTAACATTTCAAAATCATGAGTTGAAAAACGCTGACTCCGCGAGATTAAATATTAGAGCCTTACACAAAGCGGAGCGGCGACGCACTGGCGCCTACGAACCTAACAGGGATACTTCACGCATTGCGCAATGCGTGAAGTATCCTTGTTAGGTTTGTAGGCGCCAAAGCGCGTTTCGCACTCTCTGCTCGCCTCGCCTCGCCGCAGCGTGCGCCACGGCGTCTGAAGCAACTACTTCACACCAGAGGTATTGCACAGTATCATAAGAAATTGAAGGCGCTCCAACATATTAAGAATGACAAGTATCCTTCAAAAGTACGGAGCTTTCCTCTCAAAATAAATCAAGATACTACGGCACAAAAAGAGAGCGGTAGTCCAAAAACTAACTAAGTCCTAGTATCCGTAATTAGTAACGTTTAGCATAAACATTATCGTCTGGCTGTTGCTTAATCGCCATCGACTATAAAAGGCTATAAGAAATTGTGTATCCGGCTATAGAAGCTATTGGAAATCTTACAGCCGGCTTTAGGTCTATAGTATTTTGGAACACACATTCTACTGCCAATTTTTACCAGGGGTTTTCGAAGATTTATTGGCGATAAAATCGCTAGGATCATCAACATCTGAGCGATTATCCTCGATCTTGTTGCAATTTTATCTCAAAAACATCGCGATCAATAAATTCGTAATTTGATCTCGATTTATCTCGATTTTTGGTTCCATAATATTCGCGATTTTATCACAATTTTGCATCCGATAATGTTGCAAAAAATCGACGTCGATAAAATCGCGCAACGTTCTCCGATCAAATCGCAACTTATTATCGCGATCACTGCCACTCGGGTTGTGTGAAAATGTGATTTTTGACCCTTCACTTAGCTCCAAGCTACTGATATTCTCGACTTGGCTTCATTTACTTCTTCTCGATTTAATTGAGTCTCGGCTCGGATTGTCCTTTCTCCGGGCAAAGAGAGCACAAAATGTTCCAATTTCACGGAGGCTCCTTGGATAATTTAATGTCAACGTTTGAATACAACTCTTCGTGCTCGAGGGATGTCTGTGTTGCATAAACACGAAAATGCAGGCGCGTTCGTTTCTTGCACCACAACGCAATGCCTCGCTGAAACTACTCGTGATTTACAGACTTGAAGCGCCGCCGTGCTAAATTAAAACGCCATAAAAGTAATTGAATGTAGCCAAATTTCTCCCGATAAAATATTTACTCATGAGAAAAGATGAGAATATTGTTTTTGAAATTTTCAGATATGGTAGACTGAATTGCGAATAAAAATTCTCTGCAAAATTCAAGCGCAAAAATGCACGAGTTTTAAAAAAATTGTGTCTTGGTCAGGAGGAGGGCACCGCCTTCATGAGACGTTTTTTCTTAGCTCGGCATTGTCTTTATTGCATGCAGATAGAAGAGCTTAGCAGATAGACAAAGTGCGGAGCCACGAATCTCCGCGTTTGCGACGTTACAGGGTGTAATACTTTATTTTTTCTTTGGAAACCGTATTTTCATTGAGACTTCCGTGATTTTTCTTCTCTGCTGGCGGTTTATTCTAAATAAATTGTGAGCTAAAAAGTTGGCTTGTTTTTTCTGGAATAAATAAAATGAGACGGAAAATGGACCACTAGATAAGGTACGAATTTCAGCATTCTGATACATGTTTCTTAACCAAAATTTTACGTAAAACACGATGCACACAACGAAAATTGCCGAAATTAACTCCTTCCGAAGATATTTAATGATTCTTGATGCGTGAATTCAAACCACCCGCTCATGAAAACTCAATGCTCTACGTGATTCACATCGCGCGCTAAACGTTATCATGACAGTCTCTGCGATATAAAAATCTGGCAACCTCAATCTTGACGCTTTGGCTCAGTTATAGCAAATTGCCAATAGCTTGAACAACACATGGTGGGAAATGAACATTGCTTGATTGAGAAGCTTGCTGAAACCGTTGTAGTGGGCGATTTGACTCACGTAGAGCTTTGAGTTTCTTGTGAGCGGGCAGTTCAAATTCCTCGTAACCAATGTGAAATAAAATCGTTCATATCCTCGTTAGGAGTTAGTTTCAGTAATTTTCGTTGTACGAATCGTGTTCTACGTGAAATTCTGGTTAAGATACATGTATCAGATTGCTTAAATTCGTACCTTGTCTAGTGGTCCATTGCGTTGCCTGCAATAAACCTCGAAATTCGGGTGAGCCATTCGGCATAGCACCACTCAGCGCACTATCGACGGTGAAACTACCAAACCACGTATCTCGGTTTGCGACGTCGCAGACTTCCTGTCATACTTTATTTTTTAAACGAAAAACTACTCAACGTCCAGTCTTGAAAATTTCTGTGATTTTTCCTCTTCGTGCAGAGAAAATTCCGTGAAAATTTCAAGGAATGATATTGATTTGGTCCACTTCAAAAAAATAAAATGCGAGCGTAGATTTTTAAACACCGCAAACGAGATACGTGGTTTGGTAGTTTCACCGTCGCTATGCTTTCAAAGCCTTCGAGAGGCATTAAATTCAATTTGAATGTTCAAACCGTGTAAAGTAAGTTTTCAGGGGTCACTGCGTTCAGAAATCGCCGATAATCTGTCCACAAAACAACTTTTTTAAAGATAAATTGCTGCGGATTTCAGTTCCGAGGCGTTACGCTCGAGGTCCACCAATAATCGGCCGTATTGACTCGTATTCGTTTTGAAAAAAGAGAAATGAAACGACGGGGAAAGGAGAAAAGGCATTGATATGGGGACAACAGGAGCCTCTTCAGAGGCAAAAACGCCCTTTTGCACTTGATTTTCAAATAAAAAGGCGCCTTTGGGTCTCGTATTTTCGAAATGAACACTCTCTCGTTGGCGCCTCTTCTTAACAAGAGGCATACCGATGAAAGCAGAGCAAAACCACGTATCTCCATTGTGGTGTTTCAAAATGTCCGCTTCTGTTGATGTATTTTCTCGAAAAGAAACAAGCTAACTTCATAGCTTGAAATTTAAACAGAATATTCTGTTGACAGATAAAAAAAATCATGAAGGTTTAAAAGAAATTACGTTGAGTGGGTCTTCAAAGGAAAAATCAAATATAACGAGAAGTCTGCAACGTCGCAAACGGGGATACGCGATTTAGCGCTTCGATCATCGATATTCGGAGAGGCGCGTGACCTCAGTGGTCGGCTAGTTGCTTCATTTATAAACCCGAGTAAGAGTGTAGCACTGTAGATAAATGAGTAATGCGGTTGTTCTACACTACTCTTGATGAAGAGTGACGACGCAAAAGACGCCTTCATTTAGAGAAGATACTTCCTAGCGTAGCCTGAGAGGCCGAATAGTTGCATCATTCAAAAACGGCTTCTTGAATTTGAAGGACGTCTGAGCGATGGAGTGACGACGCATAAAAGCGCCTTCATTGTGAAAAGATACTTCCTAGCGTGGCCTGAGAGGCCGATATCATTAAAACCCCATCAACAGAGCAGCGTTTTGAATTTGAGCAGCGTTTTGAATTTGAGCAACGTTTGAGCTCAAGTTCAGCTTGGTAGATGAATACGTGTTCATACGGCCGATAGGTAAGGCTCGAATGTAGCTTTCCGGAACTGAAAGGTGTTAAATAATAAATAATCATCCCAGGAGCCCACGTTGAAGTCCTGTAAATTGTTTATTGGAATGCTTCAATTTTTCAGTGTACCTCAAACTAACAAAAATTCAGGACAAAAAAATCAAACTTTATGTCTGACCTTAATATGACTGACCAGTGGTCAGGAAAAAACGAAAAAGGTTGAGGACTGAAAACCGAGAGACAGAGTTAAAATGAAAGTCCATTCCAAAATGTACAAATCAACTTCCTGACCCTCCCAAACCTGAGAATAAAGTATTTCTCTGCCAACTTCAATGACAAGTCCAAGCTACCACAGTATTGCCATAAAAAAACAAAAATACCAAAAAATCTTGTCTGATAAAAAAGATAATGACTTAAAAACTATTGTGAATTATCTGCCCTTTGACATTCTCTTTTGTTTTAATTGCATGTATATTACCGAAAGGCTAAATGGCCAAAAGTGAGAAATTGGGAATAATAATGAAAATTGTTCCATTTTAAATTTTATGAATCTTTGAGGCCACCAAAATAAATGGATGTAAGAAAGAGCAAATCTAATTTTTGGCACTTAAGCCCTTTCATGTATGTATGTTTCAATTCATTATGATTAAGGTTCTTTAATATGCTCTGAGAGTTTAAATTGGAGTACATTTTGCAATAAGGAACCACTATTTCTGGCTCTCTTGTAAAGGCACATACCTGCATAGGGAAACCAGTGGCATGTATGTTGTTTCTAAAATGGGCCAAAAATAGTGGTTTCTTAATGAAAAATGGAATCCAATTATTAATTTTGGTCTGCTTCAATTACCTAGTAAGTTTACTAGTTGATGGAAAAAGGTGATGAGATGCGGGATGGATTGGTAAGTAGCAAACAGAAAACCATTTTACATTCCGCTTACCATTTTAATAACAATAACAGTATATGAATGTTTTGATGATTGTTTAAATAAATCTATATCCGGTGCGCAAACAACATGAGATACCTATGAGTATTTTTAGCTTAAAAGACGGAGAAAAGAATGAATCATGATTACAGAATTAATTATGGTTTATGGCTCATATAATTTAAGCTTATAAGTTTGGAGAATCATGCAGTTTCCTTAAGTCAGATTGCGAGATAATTTTTTTTTCTTTAAACTGAGCAATAAAATAGTATCAATCTTCGTAAGTAACTTATGGTGTCATTATGAAATCTACTTTGTGTTTCTTAAAATAGTGTGACATCACTAAGATGTCACACATCAGTCATCACAGTGACATCAGTTATTTTACTCATGATAAAAAGTCGCGATTTCACTTATATTTCTACATTTTAAGTCCTCACTGGGTGAAAATTACTCACTCAAAATTGTGAATTTATTGCGGAAAGATACTTTTTATGTTGAAAAATAAAGCCTATAGGAGAAATATGGTGGTAAATAATGGTTCATTTGATTAAATGCCATCCAATTGCAAGAGGGTACAACGGAAATTAAATTATTACAAATATTTAGATTAAAGAAGATAAAATGAGAATAAAAGTAAAAAATAATAATTAAAACATCAGTAACCAACACAATTATCTTAAATTATTGTTCAGCAGTTCCTGATGGTGATTTTGTCCAACTCTTGGAACCCAAAGAGAGGGTGATCTGGTAAGAACTAGTGATATGAAAATAGACTGTTCTCCTGCAAGAACAATAACGTTTTGATGTAGGTATAAGAGACTAAAAGACTGACTCATGAACAATAAATATTTTAATAATTCTTTGAAAATGTTACCTTTTCTGTTTCCTGATCTGCTGGATTTTCTATTTTTCTTTAAATATGAAGCCTAATAAAAATGAAAAACTAACAAAATAATACCCAATTAATTTTTCATTATGACGAATCAAGCCTACTCTTCTTCAACATTGATATCTTTGTGAAGAGCAAAATTTACTTATTTTATTTAATTGATACCTTGAATTTTTCCCCAATTAGGATGAAACTTCTCGCGTACCATGAGAACAGTGTTCTGCCTCCTCTCTAAAATTTTAAGAGCCACCTTGGCTGAATGGCCCAATTTTTGAGTGCCATCTACAATTTTTTAGGAGCCAAATCAACTTTTTATTGATGCATTATGAGCTACCGCTACTTCAAAATTGCAAGTGTGAGAAAATCGGCAGAATGCGTTAACATTTTTAGGCACCTTGATGACCTAGCCCCCCCCTCCCCCTCCAATTTTTAGACGCAAGGTGCCTTAGGAATGTAGAGCACTGCACGAGAAATGGACAAATAAATTTGCTAAGGCAGTAGTGCCAAAGCCTTTACGTTTCTCTGAAAGATACCACAAAGTTACCGAGATCATCGCCATTGGCTGAGAATAACTCATTCGTTCAGCTCACCCTGATTCATGTCGATTGTGAAACTAAGAAAACTTTGGTCTTGATCGCGAAAGTTCGAAATTCTTTTTCTTACTACAGTTTTTCGCAACAAAACTGATTCTCATACATTTACTGGATAGGAATAAACAACATTACACAAATTGAAAACAGTAAGTTTCACTTCACTAAAATTAAATATGAAAGGTGGAAAATTTACAACAACGGAGACAGAGTTAGTTTTTTTTAGTTTCACTATTGATGTATATTTTCCATGAAATTGAGAAATTTTTTCCTTTGACTTATGTTCATTGAAGTTTTTGTTCCAATTCAAAGAACACCATCAGGGTAAAAAGAGGATGTAAACTCCATTTTCAAATTGCACACTTACCATTTTATTCTGTAGGTCCTTGGAGATTGAATATGCCTAGGTTTGGGTCCATGATCATGGAGAAATCAGGAGCTGCTGGATTTAAACACTAAGAGGAGGGTCGCTCATCGCCTCTGATAGCCCGATACTTTGCCAGTTCATTCGGGAATACGCTACTCAACTCGACCAACAGGTGAGCTTTGAACTTTCTGTAGGCGTCAATTTTACCTTTGACTTGCTCATTTTTGGTAAGTGCTTTTTCAATGCAGTCTTTGGTATACAGCTGAGGATTGCGACCTTGGTCAATATAGCTGATAGGAAAAAGAAAGAAAAAAAATTCCCGTTCAGAATTTGAAAGAAAAGATAAGGTAAAAAAAACAGAGAAATCTGGCAAATGCAAAATTAAATTTCATTTGTTTTAATTAGTATTCTTTGTTTGATTCATTTAAGACTAATTCTGGTTGAATCATATCAGTGGGACTAAATTCTTTCAGAAAGTGTACATTTTTATATTATTTCATTTTTGTTATGTTACTTTGATTTTTCTAATTTATGCCTTGCTGCCATTTCTATATTTCACTACATAAATATATGTATAGAGCCCACAAAAATCTTTGCCTTCATCATTTATTAATTGCAGAAAAAACAGACTAGTCAATTTTTCATTGGACTACGTACCCATTTATAAATCAAGGCTAATACTGATGACAAAAGCGCGAAACCTTGTACCTTCATTGCAGCATTTCAAATTTTCCACTCATATTTTATTTATTCAATGAAAAAAAAGCAGACTTTATAGCTTAGAATTTACACAGAATATTCTGCTAACAGAGAAGAAAAATTGAAGATGTTTTCAAGAAATTACGATAACTCGTTTCCCAAGGAAATAATAAAATATGATGGAAAGTCTGCTATGATGCAGACAGAGATACGTGGATTTGCACTTCAGCAATTGATATGGAACAAATGCGTTTGGCAGTTCTGATTATTTTTCCGAGCATCTCCGCACTGAAAGACTTTCACAACATACATTCCCACCAAAATTATAAATATTTCAATGAAAATGAGAAGCAGCAGAATACTTTGGCCGATATTGCCACTCCAATCAGGATGAGCAACCTGGCAATAGCAGGTCCACTATCCTTACTTTAGGAGACTATATCCTGGACATGACAAAATTTAATGATTTAAGAAGAAAAAAATGCTTTAACGGACTTTTGAACACATACTTAGAATAGTAAAATTATAATGAGTAATTAATAGTAGATTTATAGGGAGTTTCTGTCAGGATGACAATACTTTTTCTACCAAATGGAGAAAGCTTGGAAATGGCAAATTATTTAACTCATAGCCATGTTTTGACAAGCAGTACAGATTTGGAAAGGAATTTAGGTAAAAAGAAAAATTCTAAGAACTTACTCAAATACTTCGAGCGGGACATGAACATCTTGAACTTGTGATTTAAGTTTATCTATTTCTTGAAGACCAAAAACCATGGTTTGACTAGGAACAAAAATCAAATGAATTAAACACTGTCGTGAAAAATGATTTTTCATAAAGTTTTCCTACCCTCCATATCTTCTTGAATTGAATTGAAAAAATTTCCCAAGTTCAGGTAAAACTGCCTCATTACTTAAGACAAAAGGGAGGACTTTGCTACAATTTGAAGGAACCTTTCAAAGTTGTTTCAAACAGCACAGCCATAAATAGACTATTTTAACACCTCACAACCTCCGATCACTATTGTAGTGCTGCCCTAGAAAATACACTGAAGCAAATTAAACATATGTGTTTTAAGGTACATGGCACTTCTATCAGAATAGCGACACCACTCATCTTTACGAGTCCTGATGCAGAAAAGTGTGTTGTACTAATGAGAGTTGTTAAATTCATGAACTTCATAGAACTTGCGCTTCTGTTGGCAAATTCAATTTTACCTCACTCAAACAATTCAACAGTGCCATCGCATTCAACAGGAATGCACAGATTATGTTGGTAATCTAGAATGCAAGGTCAACAGACCCAGGTTAGTCCATCAGGAAAGTTGAGTGCAATGATCTTTGCCAAGTGGCGGCGAGCGCTATCCGTGTTGCCAAAAGTATCCCTGATTTGTTTGTCCCACTTTGCTATTCCCTCAATCCAATTATATTGGTCTAATAGGATCACGGAGATTGGGGGGGGACTTAGCAAATATGACAGTGCAGTGGTGAAACAACAAATCAAGGGAATTTGCCGTTAGATCGGAAAATTCCAAAGAACATCTTCTTAAAGGACTGACCTGGGTCCATCGACCTTACCTAGGTTGAAATGTAATGTAGTTCTTTTTCTTCAAGCAAATTGTGGTGGAAAAAAGGCCTGTAAGCACACTAATCACCGTTGTGACAACAGAATGTCAAACTGATAAAACAGCTGCGCCAGACAGTGATAGCCCCACGGTCTTTCTGATCGAAACTCACGCTTCATTGCCATACTGGCTCTTCGTAAGTGTTCCATTCATAGAGCAAGGTATAAGTTACCGATAGATATACTACGTCAGGCGGAAGTAGCCCAACAGGTGCTGTCTTAAAATTAACGAAAAGAATTAAAAGTCAGTGGCTCACATTTTTTGGTTGAGAACATTTTGTCCTTGCGGCTGAAAATCTGCAACAATAATTCTAATTTGACGCACATTCTCGATGAACATCTCGAGTTGTGTTTCAAGATTTTCCAAAGGAGCTGTCATGACGAATGGTTTAGTGTAGGGATGTTCAGAATTCGTTGATGTCCTCGCTGAATTTAGGAAGACACCTCAAGGTAAGTCCCTATTTTGATTCACGCATACGAATACAAGCAATTTAATTTTCTTGGGAAGAATTAGGAGAAGAGAAATCGGGACTACATACGAAACGAACTTGTCGGAAAAATCTTATCTTGCTACGCAAAGAAATGTAAACAACAAAAATCATGGAGCGACATCAACCATTTTGATTAATGATGTCGTATTCAGAGCATTGATGTGGCGCGAAGTTTGAAAAGCGAAAAGACCGCAAGGACTTGGAATTCGATTTCCTGAAAAGTTAGTTAAGGATGAAAAAAAAAGAAGTAAGAAACGATGGTTATGGCCTCAACAGCAAAAATTACATTTCAAGCCCCTTTAAAAATTTGAGTAAAATCATTTTCCCACTTTATATGGGTAGGAGTCTGAGCAGATTGTGGAGTTGAGCCAGAAAAAACTTCCTTGATACATACCTATATGGAACAATTTTTTAGGTATGAGGATTAGGCATGTGCATAGGTTTGGCTGCTGAATCAGAACTCGACTTAAGTTTTTCTGTTATACAGCGTGTCCGGAAGTTAACGTACTTATTTTTCGGCTCAAACTATGACTTTTTTTTTCTTATACGCATAATATTGCCCGAAAACGCTTCATAAGTGAGTTATGCGCTTCCTTTGCTATACATGCGCTGAGTATGCTTTCTTTCAGTCCTTGCTCCTTGCAGTAAAAATTGTCTCCCTAGCAAGGAGCTTCGAAAATCTGAAACTCTTCTAAAGCTCCGTTGCGTCGAAGGACGCGTTTCTGGAGAATTTTGTGCAGTACAATCTCGGCTTGATTTTTCGCGCTCTCTCACATGCAGTGATTCGTTTATCCAAATATCATCTACCGAAAAAGCTAACGTAATTTGAAAATTCGGGAACGCTTGTAACGTCATTTCCCGGAGATATTCGCCCTTGAAGACTTAAAAAATAACCGAGGACATTCATCCTTGAAAACACAAAAAATTAACGGTACGCCAAAAAATACCCTCTAACGCAGAGTATCAGCTGCCTACTTATACGACGAAATAACGTGGAGTTTCAAATTAAAAGAAAAAAAAATGGCAACTTTGGAAGCGCACAGCTCGCCTATGAAGCATTTTCGGGCAAACGAGTACACGGGTCAAAAATCATATTTTGATCCGAAAAATTGCTCCTATAAGTTAGATAAGTTAACTTCCGGACACCCTGTAAAATCTTTTCCTGGGTAATGAGGAGGTTCAGGGGGAAAAACTTTCAGACTTGGTGCTGAAAATTATAGAGGAAATTATGTATTCCTCTATGTCATGAGGAAAATAATTTCTGCAGACCTGTGTGGTACTTCTGAACAATTCTTCATAAATAATTATAGCCTTCAGAAGCTTAGCAATTACTAAATCAATTCATAAATAAGTGAAAACAAAAGTCTTAAATTTCCGATACCATGAATCATTTCCATGTTTAAATAGTTGCACAGAATTTAGGTTTCATGGACAATTAACTCTCAGAATAATTTAATTGGGTGCTTTTTGACAATGTAATTTCTGAATCTACACTAGTACCACTTTATTTACGTGGGCCTTACATGCATGAGACTGCCATTTATCTTGACACAATGGTCAATTCTCTGCTAACTGCACAGTGGGTGATGATTTTCTGATATTTTCATCAAGGAAATTTTTGCTGTAAAAATAGAAAACAAGTGGGATGATACCAGGAACTATCTTTTATTGATCTGATGCAATGAAAAATGCCAAGAGACTATTTTCATGTATTTATTAAAATAAAAAATAAAAAAAGTGTTTTTAAAAAAGGAAAAATATTTGGAGATAAAAAAAATTTTGACCGGTAGAAGTTACCAATTTTAAAAGCTTGTAACTGGCTAACTAACATCTACTTCGAAAGAGCTCACGAAACCACTTCCTGAGTATTCATTTCGCATTTACACAACATTAAGATCATAGGTACAAGACACAAAAGAAAAGTGATAAGATTTTATCCGTTCTCGCTGGGTTTGTGCTATTCTTAAATTTTGAATAGAAGGTCTACAAGATTGCATTATTAAAATTAACTTTGTAATTGAAACTTCCTGGTTAGGCTGTCCTGAAAATAATGCAACAATTGAACTTATGAGTGAACATAAAAGCTATTGCTATGCGATTTAGGCAAAACTCTGAATGGAGTATGCAATTGGCAATGTGTGCAAAACTTCCTGTGCTCACAAGATAAAAAAAAAATGGGTTAAAATTTTTTCCTTGACTCCAACGAGATCTTCAACATTTTGTTTTGCGAAGGTAAATAGCTTGTATCATTTGTACTAAAGTGCAAAAACTGCATTACTTTCAGGGCGAAAAAAAACCCTTGTATAAAAACAACATTAAAACAGTAAATTGGATACAATGGACCACTAGACAAGGTACGAATTTAAGCAATCTGATACATGTTTCCTGACTAGAATTTCACGCAGAAGACGACTCGCGCAACAAAAATTACTGTAACCAACTCCTAACGAAGATATTAACGTTTTTATTTCACATTGGTCACGAGGAAATTGAACTGCCCGCTCACAAGAAACTCAAAGCTCTACGTGAGTCAAATCGCGCACTACAACGGCTTCAGCAAGCTTCTCAATCGAGCAATGTTCATTTCTCACCATGTGTTGTTTAAACTATAAGCAATTTGCTATCGCTGGGCCAAAGCGTCAAGATTGAGGTTGCCAGATTTTCATCACGCACAGACTGTCATGATAACATTTAGCGCTCGATGTGAATCACGTAGAGCATTGAGTTTTCGTGAGCGGGTGGTTTAAATTCACGCATCAAGAATCATTAATTATCTTCGTAAGGAGTTGATTTCAGTAATTTTCGTCGTGCACATCGTGGTTTACGTGAAATTTTGGTTAAGAAACATGTATCAGAATGCTGAAATTTGTACCTTGTCTAGTGGTCCATTCAACGACTCATTTTAAATACTAGCTGCTGTCAACTGGTAATCTACCATCTGCGTAGGAGAAAAAAAGGTATCAGCTTGTGACGGTTGAAACTTTCACACATTCATACTTTTTCGGGGGAAAAGATAGCATGAACTTGGTGCAAGTTTCAGATAAATGAGCGAGATGAGGCTTGACATGGGCTAAACCATCTGCATTAAAGCATGATAGTGACCTGAGACAACAAATCGAGGCAGTCATTAATGAAGAAAACAGCAGATATGATGAGCCTGATCTCACAATTATTGTGATCACAACTTAAATAGCTTAATAAAATTGCCACAGAGGTACATAAATGGAAAGTTAAAATATGCAACAAATGGCAGATGGTTGATTACTTATGACAAGCAACCTACTTGACAGGGAAGTCTGAGGATTCTAGAGTTTTTAAAATGTTGTATAAAATTTGTTTTTAAAATACTACTTCCGTAAATTACGTCAGAATTTTAAGAAAAATTTATGTGATGAAGGATTCGTAATACATACATGTATAAAAACCTACATGTCGTCCCTTTATGAACATAACTAGGAGCATTCACATACAATTTAATTCAGTACAGAAAATGTAATTTCAACAGGCCCAATAGCTTACTTCAACTCTCTACAGAATGTTCGCAGAGTAATGTACAGAGTTTCTAAAAAAATGTATTTGTTTTTCTGATACATGGAGAGAAAACAGTGAGATTGAAAATAGAATAAGTACCTCCTTCTTGAAAATAAAACCAAAGATGAAAACTTCATACGTACTTTCATTTAAAACTTTAAAAAAAAGAGATCCATGTGGCCTAACTTTTAGAAAGATTCAGTGCAAGTAGTCCTTAACTTACAATGATTGACTTGGAAAAAAGTCTACAATTTTAACATGCTTTCATACTTCAGTCTGCTTTTTTTTTCCACCTTGCTTTGGTTGCTACGTTGTACATTGATAAATGCACCAGCTGAGACTAATGGCTGAATAAAATGTTTCATATAATTTCTTTACACAAAATTAACGCTCTGTTCCATGCTCAAAATAATGTTCAGCACTAAAGAAAAAGTTAGACTTTGACCTTGAGTGCAGGATGCAAAGTTAAAATGTACAATATTATCACAATTAAGACCATTAGACTATCTATTATTCTACATCAGAAGCGCTTGAAATTTAGTTAGCAACTGTACAGCAATTCAAAGAAAGTCCAGAAATTGATTTAGAAGTTGTTTCCCCCTATTACGGCAAAACATTTCAATTTTCAAAAAAATAAGGTAAAATATACTCAAGAAAGATTCTAGGTGGCGGTGGCCACCCTGGCCCAATCCTAATAGAAATAACCAAAAATATGTGTTACTTAAATGAGTTTGAAATACCTTAGTTTCCATTAGCACTTAGGAAAAACGGGACGAATGTAAAAATAGCTAACACTAAAGAGCTAAAGATGCTTAAAATTAGGAGACAGTTATCAAGATTTGCTAATGCCAATGAAAAGGAACATTAACGGAGGAATCAAAAAAAACCAATATGTAGTTATAAATACTTGGAGAAAGATGGAAGCTTCTGTGTTCCATTATTGTTCCATTATCTTCTTAAATTAGAGAGGAAGATTCTTTTAGAGGACAGAGAGAATGATTCACCTAAAATAAAGCTTCTTTGTTTAAATCACATCAAGCAAAGATCTCCATAATAGGATTAAAAGGACAGTTATTTACAAATAAATTAAAAAAAAACAACAAGAAAATTCCATTAAAAAAAGGACCTCTGATGTTACATTCTTGTTCACCGGAGAATTTCAGCATCTTCTTTAAAAGTCACTGAAATCCGAGTCGGAATATTTCTTTTTCTTGGGTGCTGCTTTCTTTTTCGGCTTATCGGCAATATTGGTTTTGCTGAAGAGAGTCTTCTTCTTTGCTCCGCCACCTTTCTTTGTGCTCTTGAAAGTATCGGCATCTGAGTCATCTGAGGATAGCTTGCGCTTGCCCGTCTTGGCCTTTTTAGATTTCGATTCCAGCTCGAACTCACTGTCGCTGTCCTTGCGTTTCCTGGAGGCAGCAGGTTTTTTTGATTTGGGGGCAGGCTCGAAATCACTTTCACTGTCACTGCCTTCGTAGTACTTGCTAGCCGCGGCCGGCTTCTTCGGCCTTGTATCAGGCTCAAACTCATCATCACTATCCTTAGCTTTAGTTGGGGCTGCTGATTTCAGAGGAACATCATCATCATCCTCATCATCGCTGAACTTGTATGAGGTGGCAGGTTTTTTAGCGGGCTCTTTTTCTTTTGAGATGGGTGCACTTCCCTTCAAAAGCTTGTCGAATTCGTCACCACTATCTTCATCCTTACTCATTGCACTCGATTGACTGGACTGCAAAAGCTTATCGAAGTCATCTTCAGCTTTCTTCTTGAGAGCCGCAGCTTTTTTGGGCTTATAGGTTGGCTCTGAATCACTATCTTCTTTTTCTTTACGTTTCTTGGGGGCAGCTTTTTTGGGCTTGGGTGCAGGCTCTGAGTCACTGTCGCTTCCCTTATCAGAAAAGTCGCTTGCAATGTCGTTAGTCACAGTGGTGATTGCGGAGGGTGCAGTGACCGCAATATTATCATACACTTCAACATCACTCTCAAGCTTTTCTTCACCATCTGAATCATCAAAGTTGAATTTAATGTTGGCAGCTGCGCGCCTGGCAGTTGCTCTTGATGGAACAGAGACTGGAGATGTTCGGAAGGAAGCAACACTGCCATCACTGAGCAAATCATCATCAGAGTCAGAAAATGCTGATTTCTTGCCTTTTTTCTTGGGTGATACTTTTTTCTTGCCTTTTTTCTTCTTCCCATCATCACTGTCAGAATCGGAAAACGCGCTTTTAGCTTTGAAAGTATCTGTTATTTTAGATTGACCTTTACCTGCTTTAGGTGCTTTCACAGCCTTTTCTTTCTTCGCTCGAATTTTCTTTTCGATCATTTCTGGTGAGGTTCCCAGGCGTGCTGCGAGAGGTTTATCGGAACCGTTTTCGACAAGTAAATCAAAATCGTCCTTCTCAATATCCACAGCTTCTTTTTTCGCCTCGCGTTTCTTTGATCCAAGGACTTTGGCTTGTTCAAGTTTGCGGACTTTGTTTCTGAGTTCTTCATCGATTTTGAACTCTATACGTTTGCCAGCCGGCGAAGGCAAAGCTTCAGCCTTCAGAGCTACTTTTTTCTTACTACCTTTCTTTTTCGGATCAAAGTTTTCTTCAGCCTTTCTGATTTCATCTTGTTCAACTTCATCTAATTTTTCAAGGAAAACGTCCAAGTCATGACGCCATAAATCGCGAGGAGTTTTATCTTGTAAAATTTTCAACTCCATTTTCTTTTCTTTTTCTTTCTTCAGAAGTTCTTCTTTCTTTTCATAGGTCAAATTCCACATGGGCATACCAAGAAGATAATCATAGTCCCTCTGATCACCTTGAGCTGTTTCAGTCTCTGCCGGCTGATCAGCGTCCTCTTCTTGTTCTTCATCCTTTTGCTGTCTCTTTCGCCACTCTTTGACGGGATCTGACCGATATTCTCTTTTAACTAATTCAGCAATCATCTCCTTCTTTTTGCGGTTCTCAATTCGCAAATCTCCATCACACTTCTCGCAAATGAACCTTGCTTGGTCGCTTAGCCTTTGGGCTTCAGCTAAGAGCATGCCCTCCATGTAGGCCTTTCTCTTTTCGTAGAATTCTAGCCTTACATCGAAGAACTCTCTCATTATTTGCATCACTGTATCATACTTTTTCAAGCAATTTCCACGATCGAATGCAACCATTGATGAGGTGGAGATAGTGTTTTGCAATTTGAATACTTTGAAGAATCCTTCATTTTCTGCATGAATGAACATGTCCCTGTTCATACTGACTAAAAATCTCACTTTAGTATCTGTGCTATATTCTTTGTAATCAGTGATGAGTGGGGGAGTCTTATCTTTTTCTCCATCCTTGCCCTTCTCTTTCTCAGTTCCATTTAGCATCACCTCCAATGTCCCTTCCTTGTAGTTCTGAGTCCATACTCCAATAGGCAACTCAGTAACTTCAATTTTATCTTCATTGATTTGAGAAATGATACCCGTCGTTACGAAACGAGATTCACCGATGTTCTCAATATTTCCAATGAAATTCTTGTACCATGGTAGCATTGGTTTCGGATCTTCTCCATTAATCATAAGCTTTAAATTTGCCGCAATTTCACGGGGGTTATAGTTGGGTATTTTTGTCATCCAACCAGTGCCGATACCTTCTGCACCATTAACTAAGACCATTGGAATGATGGGGATGTACCATTCTGGCTCAATCCTTTTGTTGTCATCACGAAGATAAGTGAGTAATGGGTCATCGTCCGGATGAAATATGTATCTTGCTAACGGGCTTAACATGGTGAAAATGTAACGGGGACTGGCTGCATCTTTACCTCCTTGCAGCCTTGTACCAAACTGACCGTTGGGCATTAAGAGATTAATGTTATTAGAGCCAACAAAATTCTGAGCCAAGTTAACAATGGTTGAGGTCAATGACATTTCACCATGATGATACGCACTGTGCTCGGCTACACTACCAGCTAATTGTGCTACTTTCACTTCTTTCTTATCATTACGTTTGAAGCATGTAAACAAGACTTTCCGTGATCCTGGTTTAAGACCATCCACCATTGATGGAATAGAACGCTCATTGTCCATATTACTGAACAAAACTAATTCTTTGTTGATGAAATCTTGATAAGAAACTGCTCGCGTATCTTTCTCGTACAGATAGTCTTCTGGCAGACCCATTTCACGCCTGCGTTTACAGTCAGACATCCAGTTTGTGAGCCATTCTTTACGGGAATCTACCAATTTCTTGCTGAACGCCTGGAAAAAATAAAAAGTCATTAATTGAAAAAAGACAGTGATAGGAAGGCTTTCTTAAAAAGAAGTATCACTCATCTCTCTATAACTTCTCTAAGAAGTCCATCAGTCTGACTCAAGAAAGATATATACATGTTACTGCTAATTCATGATGTATTGATAGTTGGAGGTAGTGATAACATGGTAGCACGTATAACTCTTTCACCAGGAGGTTTAACTTTTTACGTTCCGATGGTCATTCTAAGGCATACTGCCTCACAGTGCCAATGGCCCAAAATACAGAAATTTTGGAGTTGTCCAGGAACTCCATACAGATACACACATAAATTCCTTTCTTCACTCTTGCTTCACGCGTCAACTACCATAGCATTTTTGAAAGTATGTCTGCTGCACCATCACTTAAGTATATATACCAGTGTATGATTCAAAGACCAAAAATCACTAGTTCATTCACCTTTATGAATGGCGTCCTATATGAAAAACAGAATGGTTTATATGCCAAACATTTTTCCCAGTGTAATTCACAAGATAAAAAGTAAGAACTAACAAAAGTTGACTGAACGCATTATCATTGCTGAAAACTTCACTTCAAACCTTGATTCACACTTAAAAAAGATGTACATACACATCGGAAACGAATAAAATGATTATCTTACCATAGTGATGTGAGCGTCATCTTCTGGTCCACGATAAATGAACAGAATTCTATGCCGATTCATGTTGGAAAAATATTCTCTTGCTTCATCAGAGGATGAAGTTCCCAAACCTGTAAAACAGCACAATTTCAATATTAGGGATACCATTTCAAAATTAAGGAATGCGAGTCTTAACTGTAGAACAATATGCATTCTAAATCCTTCCCTTTCATTTGCAAACCTGGCCGTTATTTTAAGGCACTTTCATTACAACTACAGACAAGTCGATACATCTACATGTACATGTACATCTACTGTATTTACATGGTCAAGAATAAAAAGAAAAGAGTTCCAATGAATTCTTCTTAATCAGATTCCTTGATTTTCCTAGATATTCGAACAAAGCTTCCAGTTAGATTTTCATTATTTTAATTTTGCTCCAGCTACACTTCGAATAAACATTTAGTTCACAAGACTCAAATTATAGAAAGAGGCACTTGGAGGCTGCACACGTTCTCTTGAAAGACACTGACTGAGATAGCTGCACTAATAACGCATTGCGTACAAAATTTCTTGACTTTTCTATGCTTTCCCTGTTATTCCCAGGTCAATTTCATAGAGAAAAAAGAGAGGTGATCGTAATTCATGATTTGTTTACCCTGTGACATAGGTGGGCACAGTGGAGTGTCGCTAATCCAGCAAAATCTAAGATTCCAAGCATGAGAAACTTGACCTTGACCTACCATGACTCTTTTACACAAACTATACCATTTATAAAAAAATTTATGGCAAAAAGTGTCTGTACCCACCAATATCATTGACGGTATCCAAGATGCCTGAAATGCGACAAATCCCTCTTTTTTCTCTATCGGGTTACCGTAAATTCTCCAACTTCCTAGGTTATTCAGATCGCTGAAAACTTTGAAGAATCATCCGTTATATCTCTCATTACCCAACCTTCTCCTCACAACAAACATGATTAAAAAACACACCAGGTAAAACAGTATCATTCGGTTTCACTAAGCTAAACGAATTGCTGACCTCAATTACTGTGGTGATTTGACATGAGGAAAAAATAAAAACCTTTGTAGTATTTGATGTTCCACGTGTTAAAGTTTGGTGTTGCAGCTTTCCATTCTTCAAATTCTGGCAGTGAATAGAAAGATAGGGTTTCTCTGCTTTTCTTCACCTTTACAATGGGTGTGATAAATTCTTGAAGGAACGGTAAGCGAAGTAGCCCAGGCCAGTTGTGATGGATAAAGTTAATGATGAGCCCTTTGATGTGAGACCCATCCTGGAGAAGAAATTAGCACAAATTATTAAGAAGGTCATGAACAAAAATTAGACTACGTTTTGCAATAGAGAACTACATACTGTTTCTGTTTTATCCATAAAAGCACATATCCGTGTAGAAAAATTATTATCGCATAGGTATGTTGTTTCTACATTGAGCCATAATTAGTGTTATATATTGCAAAATGGAGTACAAGTGGATTGCATTTTGCAAAAAGGAACCAAGTGCATTGCAATGATGCTAAGATTGTGCAACTTCATCTTTTGCGATAAATTGTGGAAATCGTGAAAAACTATGAAATTTAGATGGTAATTTTTGTCTTAAATTTACAGTTCTTAGCGAGTAAAATAGAAACTATTAATGGATAATCGGGTTTTTCCTCCAAGACAAAAGAAGTTGCACAATCTTAGCAACATTGCAATGCTAGCGGTTCCTTTTTGCAAAATGCAATCCAAGTGTACTTGAAAAAAATAAAAACTTGATTTCATCACAGAAAATGTAACCTGAGTGATGTTCATATCCAAAAAGAGACGAGAAGATTAAATTGGTTAGCTCTACAGAATGTCCCATAGTCAAATCGCCATACTGACGGGGCAACATATTAGGTTCAAAATAAGACTTCTTTCTTTATAAAGTATTTTCCAGAAGTGCTCTCAGTAGAAGCTATGGCCCTCCCAAATTTTTACTAAAAATTATGTTTAAAATTCACTGACAACACACCTGATCTTGATCTGTCATGATCATTAATTTGCCGTATCTCAAGGTCCGGAGGTCATCTGTTGTTTCGTACTTCTTCTTGTAAATCAACCCTAGAATTTTCACAATGCTGCTGATTTCGTTGTTTTCCATGACCTGAAAAGATGCCAAGAGAACAATAAAGAATATCATCCATATAAAATGACCTAGAGGAGTTTTACTTTCAGTACAGCACATTACATTTTTTTCACATGTTGTGTACCAAAGTGTCTTTGCAAATATTTTGCACTAGGTTACAAAAACATGTGTTGGAAATTTATTTAACAAAATCGAAACTTATCTTCTAACTAGAAAAAGTAAGGTAACAGGATTACTGTAATTTTGTAAGTATTCAATTCTTGGCTTTTTTTTCTTTTCCCTGACGCCAAAATTTCCCAATTCCCTAGGTTCCGCTGACCTTTGAACGAAACTTTCACTTAGATTTTGTTCTCTTTTAATTACACTGATAGCTAATGCTTTCCCAGCAAAATTCCCTGACTTTCCCTTACTTTTCTAGGTTTTTCCGATCACCAGAGACCAACATTACAAACCTGTTTGCTGAAATGGGTGAAGTATCATTTTTGAAACATTTTAGAAACAAAAATTTAATTCATAAAAAATTTTTTTTGACAGTGATCAAAACTGTTCAGGAGTCTTGACTGATAACTAGCAGAACTTGAGCGAGTAAAAAGGCTTTGAAAATACATCTTTGCATAAAAGAACATCACTTGGTTGGCAGCACAAACCTGCTTTGTAGTGGCTTCTCGAACGTTCAAGAGTTTACCACGGAGTGGAAACACTCCATATCTATCACGACCGACAACACCGAGTCCAGAAACAGCCAGTGCTTTGGCCGAGTCTCCTTCTGTCAGGATTAAGGTGCAGTCAATGGAGTTTTTCGTACCGGCATCATTAGCATCTTCAAGTTTGGGTATACCTGCAAACAAACAAACAAAAACACCCTGAGTGTCTGAGCTACTTTTTCAAAGAATTCATCACCAAGACGAGATCTGATCAAATCAAGCTCTTGTAAAATCGGATACTTTCTTGACTGAAAAGCATCATTACAAGAGAGAGCTTCGACAATTCTCATAAAGATTTATAGATGAAACTCAATCATCATTACACACCGCAGCAAAGGTAAACAAGAACTAAATTTGACTCATAGTATGATGCATTAGGTTCCGAAAGAAACCTTGAGACCTTTTCCAGGAAAAAGCACTACAATTCATGACTGGGTAAAATTTTCAGTACAGCAAAACTTGCCAAGATAAATTGAAAAATCTTATTTTTTTGAGATCTTGAAGGTACACTCTCTCGTGTCTTGAAGCATTGACTCGACTCGAACGTCATTTTAAAAGCTCTCACTTAAATCGAAAAAGTAAAAGAGAAACTCAAGCTCTACCGGAGCCAAAGGATCTAAGCTCACAGAGCCCTCCCTTCAAGAATAAACGTTGATTTGACAGGTTGGTTTTAGAGATAGCGAACAAGGAAAAATTCTTCTTCTTGAGTATTTTTCCTCTAATACCAAAACATGAAGACACAAATATACTTCATAAGTGCTAATGAACATTTTAGAAGTCTATAAACGGGGAGAGGAGGAAAGGAAGAGACTGATAAAAAAATTAAGGGCCTTCAAATACGTTTGAACATTTTCCCAAATTTTAAGGATATTCAAGAACTTAAATTTGAAAATAAATGAAAGTACAACCATATTCAAGAACTTTTCAAGGCATCACGTACCCTACAGGATATGGCAACTTATCTGTCATACAAAACGGCCCAGGAGCAAAGGTGTTTTAGAGGATTTTTAAATTCATGATATTACTCCATTGTTTCTAAAAATTATTCCAAGATAAAAAATCTTAATACAGGGAAACTCAAATCAACTACTATATCCACTCTTCCTTTATTGTTTTTAAAGGTTACTTCCGGATAACAACAGTGGAAGAAGTATTGCAAAATACTTGAAAAGGTGCACAAAATTGTTAAGCCAATAAATGTTTAGGATGGATCCTTTCGATGCAAAATTGAACTGAAAACTGAAGAGACATTATTGACTTTTTTACAAACCTTTTAGTTTAGACTGTTTTTTCCCACTTGTTTTTCCAAGGGCATTTTGTTCTTTGAATTTAGACCAGGCTAGGACCATGTCCACGATTCCAACTTTGTTCACCTGAAAGAAAACAATGATTAGAAACAACTGTTTTAGAGTGATCTTACGCTTAAATACAATTACACTTTATGCAATTTTGGCATTCTTTTCCTCATTAATGATTTTTTTTTTTTTAAAAAACTGAACCCCCCCCCCCTTCAAATTTTGGAACTTCTTGTTCCAAAAAGCAGACGATTCTTGCATTAGGGTATGAACAGTTGAAAGGAGCTGCTACCGTTGGCCAAATCATTCCAAGCACTTAAAAAGTCTAAAACTCCCACAAAGGGCTCATGTCAAAGTGGAAAAACACCCTTACAGAAGAGGAACAACAAGTCGTAGGCCACACTCAAAAGTTACTCTCTAATGTCCACTTATTTTGTATAGCAAGTTGTTTACAAATAGCATGATTATGATTTAGAATAGTATGTCCCATTTTTTTCGGACGAATCCCTCCATCCTTTTTCAGAACGCTTCATGAGATTAAACTTGTCCCCCGAGTTGCACACTCCACATCCCTCGGACGAGTGCACCACGCAACCAAATTTCGATTATGCACGCCCTATAGTCTCTCTATGTTGATGTACTGAGCCTTGTAATATGTGCTATCTGTTGGTGAGGATATGAACTACAACTTCCGCATATTCTCCATAGAGTGCCCGCCTGTCGCTGCTCTGTGGAAGAGTCCAACCTGTTCACAACAACGAACTACACCTCTAGAATGGCTGCGAGATAGCAAACCTGCGTAACGCGCAAGGGACGGTTTTTGAAGGCAGGAGGGGGGTGGGAGCCCAAGTATAGCTAACCTCAATCTCCATTTCTGCTGCATCTTGCCCATAAGGATTACATGTGAAAATTTCAACCTATGTAAACTTTCATTTTTTTTGAGGTTTGCTTTCAAAGTTCCTATTTTTTGAGTTAAGAAAACCTTTGGAGGTGCGATTATTATGCAATCTTTTCATTGCTATCACTTTATTCAACAATATTCGGCAAAATGTGCGCAGCGTCTGACATGGGTTTAGATGGCAGCCTGCTGTGTGAGCCCAAGTAAACCTAACCTATATCAACTTCAAAACGTTCCAGGTCTCTAACACTGGTCGGCCATTCTAGAGGTGTCGTTCGTTGGTTCACAATGCTCATTTTTTCATTCCTAACCTGGTATACAGGGGTGAGCGCGACGGATCCTGACCCGGTATTGAAAAGGTTAAGGAACCGGCAAAAGTAATTTGACATTGGCAACAAAGTAAACACTAAGAACCATTCACATATAGTGCCCACTGAATAGCTGATACAAAATAAAGGAGCAAAACAAATAGAGGAGCAATAATGAGGTTATGGATAATCTCAACTTACAGCAGTAAAAAATTTCTCGCTGATGGTGGGTTTCGAACCGAAGCTCTTCACTTGAAGCGTCATGTGCTCTTTTGTCTGTGAGTCGAAAGTTGGATTAACGATCAGACAGTTGACAAAGACCCACATGTGATTCTTGACTTGATGAGGTTTAACAGCTGTCCCCTTGCTCTTTTTCTTGATTACTTCCATGAGCTGCTTGCAAATGACATCTGTAACATGATCCACATGTCTTCCGCCCTAGAAGCAGAAAAAAAAGTTTCAAGTCTTGATAGCATTAGATTTTAAGGCAATGTGCAGCTGTGACCTGAGTAACGAGCAGAAAACATGCAGTATATGAGGTGGATATTATCCATTGGTATTTGTCACTTTAAAAAATTATGAAAGTAGCGCTGAATAGACATAAGGAATGATAAATGCTCTGCTAAATTAGTTTACATTCCATTATGCGCCATGTCTGTAATAAATCTGAGAAGTGAAACCGGTTCTCTAGTGTGCGTTTTTCCCCCACTTCGCTGAGCATAGTCTTAAAATGACTCACTTTGCCCTCACCTCCTTTCTCCACTGTAACATTGGTTCCTGCCAATGCCATCAAGGCGCAAAATGACAATTCACTGAAGTCTTGCAGAAAGAACATCATCATTTATTGAGACATCATTGTTTATCATTTTTTTCATCATCATTTATTTATTTCTGCCCAACTTTCTCTTCGGATGCTCATGGGGAATTGCGACTTCTTTGGTAACAAAGAAATGGGTAGCCGTCAATCACACTTGAAGTCGAGACTATTAGCATCCAGCAGGGGCTCCACCTGTTGACTGCAAAACAACAACTTAAAATGCTCTTTAAATTCTACCATCAAGCTTTAGGAGTTATTTTACAGTAACCATTTATAAGAAAATGAACCGCCATTGACAGGGGTAAGCTCACCTTTGTTGTTGCAATGCTGTTAGCAAATGACATTTGCTGGAATCCTTTGTCCGAGACCGTAATTGCGACTTCCCATCGAGGACCGCATTTTTCATGCACTACCTTCAGAGCGTTGCCAGAATCATCCGTCAGGTTTCTGACATAAAGGTCGACATAATCTTTGAAACTTTTCACCTACCAACAGGAGAATAAAATAAAATCATTATTAATTAAATTAGAAATAAACTAATAAGATTAATATCATACATCCACCTAATTGTCCATTAAAGGCGAGAGTGGGACTTATAATTCTGAACATAGATAATTGTAACCCTACTGACTTGAAACAACAGCTCTGAGCTGCCCATCAAATGATCATTGATGTTTTCAGGATAGATCCTGTTCTCATCAATGTTATACGAGTATTTTGACCGACCTAAAACTTATTTCATACGGTAATTTATTACTATGTTGCACTATTATTGTATTTTGGGAGCAAGATTGTAATGGGCCTCTAGACAAGGTATAAGTTAAAGCACTACATTACATGATCCCCCTTCATACTTTTGCGAGAGAATCAAATCACAGAAATTGACGTCTGGAAATCAACTCATGAACAAGATGTAAGTGTCTACAATTAACAATGTTGAAACGGGAAAAATACAAATGATGTAATTTGTATGACCTAACTCTCATTCAATCTGTGTTAAAAATACTTGTTGATATCTTGTTCAGGAGTTGATTTCTAAACTTCCCATTGGAGGAATCATTTCTTTCGTAGGATTTCAAAGAGGAAACATACCACGCTTTCTTTACTTCAGACCTTGTCAAGTTTCCCATCAGCTTAAAACCTATGATATGATCGATGATTTGGTTGAAAGAAAAGCCAACGCTCTCCTCACCTCATTGGTCTTGTCATAAGGCTGGCTTAATTATGAATGTAAAATATGGTTAGATTTTGCAGTTTAATAAAAAAGACAGTCTTCTGGACAATATTAACAATTATTTTCAGCAGATGTCTTACACATTAGGTTAAAACTAACTTACCGGTAAAAGTTTGCCATTGAGGACCACTTTAACACCCCCAGTTGTTGCAGCAACATCATATGCTCGCCGCTTCATTAATGCAACGATATCATCATCTAATTTATCCATCTTAAATTTGGTGAGATCTGGTGAAAATTTAATCTTTGTGTAATCTTCACCTTTTGATGCAATAATTTGGGGTGCTGATGTTTTTGTCATGTTAGAGGTCCACGTCTGTAAACGGATATTAAGAAATTAATTAGTAAATTAAAAGAAGGAAATAATGATTGGTTGGGCTGGAAATGTAAAATATGTTGGACGAAAGAAGTTACGTTCTTGATACACAGAGATCAAGCAAACTGATACAACATAAAAATAACTGCGCAACATTTACATGACTGTTGAACACAATAGGGCTCTTCAAGAAGGGACTGAGGAATCCCGAAACGCAGCCGAAAAAAAATAAAAAATAACCCGTTGGTCTTATAGCCTTAGAGAAGGGAGTTCCACAACTTGTAGGCATTTATGTTAATTTAATTCGTAAGTTAGAGTTCCTTAATTTTCTAAGTATTTTTATTTAATTCAATAGCTCACAGTTTGTTACCCCATTTTGCTGTTTGCTTTGTCTACTTTTTTTGTTACTTTCGGTTCATCTGTCTGAAAACTTGCCATGCTTATGACTTATAAAAAAATGCTAACTGACATGAGCCAAATTTGATGCTAAATTGAAACAGAAGTGCTGGGAGAGAGGAATGATTCGAGCACTTCACTACTTCTATTGAATAGGAAAGCCAGTACAGCAAATTGCTGTTAAGAAAATAAAAATCGTAAAAAAGAGGATTACCTGCTTGAAACATTTTTTATAATCCTGAGAACTTGTTTCTACAGTAAACTTTGTTGAGAAGATGTTACACAGTTTAGCTCCGAAACCGTTTCTACCTCCTGTGACCTTCTCTTCCTCATCATTGTAGTTGGAACTCGTGAGCAAATGACCAAAAATCATGGTTGGAACATACATTTTTTCATCCTTGTGTTCGACAACAGGAATACCTTGACCATTGTTGTATATGGTGATGGTGTTATCTTCTCTAAAGATTGAACAAACAAGGAAAATTATTCATAGGTACAGAATATTATGGAAAAAGCAGTGCATTTGATGAAAGACAAAAAATAGGCAAAAATCATTTTGGTAGAGGTGTCTTCTAATGATGAATATGTGGCCACAATATGTACAAACATGTTTTCATGATGATGGACATTGCATTCTAGCTTTTTAGCAAAATAATTTGGCCATTCTTTCTTTAAGAAATAATGTACACAAAGTCACAGGCACCTACCATAGGAATAAGTCGCTGTAGTTGCCACTAATATTTGGTCATATCAATTATGATTATGCAGTTATGGATTCCAAGATCAACTGAGATAGAATTAAGTAAGCTTTAAATATACAACAAAAATTTTGACCATAAGGCTGAAATTTTTAGAATATTGAGACCTGAATACTTTCAATTGATAAATAATCAAAATAGTAAGATTTTTAATTGATCTATTGCACACAAGAGATACGGCCAAATGAATACTTTCTACAGCTAAAATTGTACAAGAATCGTGATGTACACATTACAAACTTATGAAATCCACTCTTTAGCACTCAATTTTTACGCTTCATTACCTAATTATCGAATTTACTGCCTTTGCAGCAACATTAGGCTAGGTAAGAGAAATCTACAAGTAATCTAGAAGAGTTATCGATTTTAAAGGAGATGCCGGACTATTACTAGTAGTGCCTAACATGAGTGCTCAGAAATATGACATCTTTGTGAAGATTTCTTGAGAATTTTTATCGAAAGTTGGGGAAAGGGATTTAACTCATCGAAATAATGGGTGGGAAAAGTCTTGTGATACCTCTTACATATTGAGTCAATGAGTGCCATCTACTTGTCTAACTTTCCAAATAAACTCCCAGCAAATTTTCCTGAATTAAAAATTAGATTTTGCAGCATAAATGCTGCTAAAATTTATCGTTCAGTTCTTAACATAAATTATCAGAGTATGATGATTGACTTGAAACTTTAGCTTATAATTTATTAAAATAAATTACTTCTCGTTCATTAATATTTTTAATTTCATCTTGGAGAGGCTGACAGTATGACAACGCAGCATAGTGATCGATCTCATCTTGAGATCACTTAAGTAAATTCAACTTGAAAAGTGGCAAGCATTTCATAAGATTACTTCATCTTTCACTTCTACATGCATAAGTATGAATTATTTTATTGAAATTAAGTGATGATGACAAATAAACAAAAAACATGTTCTAATTTTTTATTTTCCTGGTTACTTACTGACTGATGTCGATTTTTATTCTGTCCATCTTGGGGTCGCGCTGTTTATTGTCAGCAGCATTGACGAGGATTTCATCGAATATTTTGTACAAACCAGGGACATATGAAATCTCTTTCTGGATCATTCTGTTTTCCTCTTCATCGTAAATCCACATGGGTTCTTTCACGAACTCCACAGAACCTAAAAAAGAAAAATCAACTCTGAAACATTTTAACCTACAGAGTATTTGACCATAGGTGTATGTTGCCGGTGCTAGATATCTTTATCCTTACAAGCATTTGTCGTCTACTGAGGTAAGCTTGAACTTGTTTCAGCCAGGTAGCCTTTTTGGAAAGTGCTTTTTTTTTAAAAAAATCTTTATATTACTTTCATTTCAGCCCACTATCCAAATATTCTGAGTTGAGAGCCATGAGAGAGCAAGAAAAAGATGAGAAAAACTATCACTATTAACAATTGGACGTATTTCTATCAAACGGAACTATGTGCATTATGACATGAGCTCTGTTATGCACATATTCTAATGGGTCTTAGGGTTCGTGTCTTAATGCACATAGTTCCGTTTGATAGAAATACGTCCAATTCATCAAAGAAAATTTCAAGAAACGGTAATGGCGGAGTTGGACAGATAAGCCTACATATGTTTGAGATCAATTCTAAAACACTGCAAAGGCTACAGCCTTACTGAAAATTTGATGCCTTACCAATATATGTGTCCGGTCGAAGCAAAATGTGTTCCAGCTGTGATTTTTTCTGATAAATTCTTTCCACGCTCATTTTCTTCCCTTTCGGTTTAGCTTGTACAACCTCATCTTCGGAGCCGCTGCCCCCTCCATTAAGGTAATCACCATCCATCTTAGAGTAGGTTCTGGAATGAGGAATAGAAATAAAAAACTAAAGGTGTGGAGGAATGAATCCCAGATCGTACTGAAACTAATAGAGAAATGTTACTTGAGGAGTCACCTTCTAGTGCTTTTCGCAAATTGTCTGCCTTGTTTCATGCCTGTGCTTACCATTAGAAATACGTGGGAGAGGGCAAGGAAGTGACATAAACAAAACACTTTCAGAGTTTCCTTCATTATTTGACCATGTACCATGATCATATTAATGCTAGAAACTACATTTCTGTGATGTGTAAACCAAAGGTATGTAGAAAGTCTCTGTGCCCACACAGCCTACCATACATGTAACAGAGCGACATGGGCTTGTGCGAGCCTATCTGGAGGACATACCAACTAAGTAAGATAGGCATGCCTTAGAAAAATTTCAAGATCATAAGAGAAACAAAGACATAATATTCTCTTCAGAAAACGTCAATGGCAGTTTTCCATTAATACGAAGATGCAGGCACTCAATGCTGCTAATGTCCCAAAGTGTCCAAATAATTTACACATGTTTAGATGTCATAAAAGAATGGAGAGTGAGAGAAATTTGAGTTGTTTCTTAGCAAATTATAACAACAGTAAGCGAAAAATGAGTAGATCCTACGTTATCTCTGACAATAATCTGTTCACTGACCACAGACGTATTCCAATTGACTGCAGCTTTAGGTGACCACCTTTACTTCGACAATTGCATAATGATGCGTACTTGCAGATATATCTTAAGTCCTGTCAAATGTGCATGGATCCTTCCCTGGCAGGCAGCGCCAGTAAATTTATATGACGTGTAATGCATACGACAATTATCTCTCCTGTACAATGTTGAGCAGGAACTTTAATGTCCTTAAAAATGATTGTGGCTCTTGCAGCAGTCATTAAATATAATTCTGCTAAGAGATAATTGATGGATGTTTGCCATGGTGTCCAATTCACCTGATGGCAGGACTGACAAGCTAGAAGAAAAGGAGTCGAGAACATATCCGCTGACTGGTGCATCAGGAGGTGCCAAAGTATTAAGTGGTATTAAGCATACACCGCGGATTGATCATAGGACAAGTCAAGAAGCCTTGTCCGTGGAGAAGAGGTGTTAGGATGACTCAATCAGAATTAAACTTTCGTTAGGCATAAGCAGACTCGAAAAGTACGGACGGGTATCATGGTTTGGGAACAATAAACAAACAATGGAGTATGAGCTCGGAGATCACTTACGAGGAGGTAGTGGGCACGATGGAAACCGCAGAGGTCAGGGACACCTGGGCTTAAGGGGATTCAAAATTACACCTGGAATTGCATCCAGTTGAGTAATAAATATCCTCAAACATTCGCACTAACACTATATGCGCTAAAATGTCACCAAGTTCTCACCGAAACGAGGCGATTTGTGAAGATACTGATGCTGAAATGGCGCCAATGGCGGCGAAATTAAACGGTTTTTTGCATCTTGCGATCATGCTCCGGTACTGCCAACAGAAAAGACGACGGGATGAAGGAGAAGAAAAGGCACACTGACATTCTGGATGTGAATTTTTCAAAACTCTTGGAATCCCAACTTTGGTGAAAGCTACTTTAAATTGCAGAAGTCGTCTGGACATTCATGAGTGCTTGATATAAGCTTCAGAAATTATTTTACTCAGAGTTCACCCAGCACGACACATGAGACTTGCTACGAAGAGAAATAAACTGGCACCCATGTAACACTGACGCTAGTGGCGGGATTTATCAAAGCGAATCATGGAGCCGGGTCAGACTTTTACGTCACGTTTGTTCCGTATCCAGCACCCCATTGGTGATTTTCGAGCGACTTATTTCTGTGGACTGAGGAACCAAGGGAACCTCTTGGAACCAGGAACCAGTGAATTAGAATAAGAATTGGCAATCAATTTTTATATACACCGAAAACAGATTTTTGTGTGCATGATTTTAATTATCATAATTAAAATCCTTTTATCTCATTAATTTTTTTCTTAAAAAATAATAATATAAAAATAAAAAAATAATAAATAAGCAAATATGAAGAATGAAAAAAACTGACTTAAAAAGGATATAAGGATAGGGGGTTGCAAGGGTCGTTAGTGCGGAGAAACGAGGGGAGGGGGGGGGCTCACAATCTCCGACCCACACCCTCTCCCCCTGCCATGTCATTTTTACTTTCTCGCTCTCCTAGTTTTTCTCTGGTGGTCACTGGCCAAATATGAGCCATACGCAAGCTTTTACAGAATTTAGACACGAAATATCAGTCCCAACTCGAGGTTGGATAGATTTTTATTTATTTAAAAAATTTAAATGTTCAGAGTTGTAAACTGAAACTGTTTCATATGCCAAAAGATACCTCGAGTGGCATATCGACGGTGAAACTACCAAACCACGTATCTCGGTTTGCGACGTCGCAGACTTCCTGTCATTCTTTATTTTTTAAATGAAAAACTACTTAAGATCCAGTCTTGAAAATTTCTGTGATTTTTCCTCTTTGTGCGGAGAAAATTCCGTTAAAATTTCAAGGAATGATATTGATTTGGTCTACTTCAAAAAACTAAAATGTGAGCGTAGATTTTTAAACACCGCAAACGAGATACGTGGTTTGGTAATTTCACCGTCGATATGTCACATATCTACAAAAAATAGGAAAAGAAATTAAATCGACAAATATTGATTTGTCGCAAAACGATGATCCGGGTATCGGAACATGGCTGATTAGAAAACGCCTTCAAATGCGGCGTGATACCTCACGCATTCCGGAGAGTTCAAATAGTTGTATCATTGCGCCTTAGAAATACGACGGAATATTCCAATTGAAATAGCCTTCATGCACGCTGGCCTTTTCGATTTCCGTTAACATTTCTGCAGTCATGAATGCGCTTAAGTGCGCTTCAGCTAGAATTGTATTTAGCAAATGGGTGGTTTTTATAGGAGGATTATAATTAAACAAGTGGTTAGAAATGGATACAAAATGATATGAACTATGCAAAACGATTATTCCGATAACGGAACCTGGCTATTTTGAAAACGGCTTTAAATGCGGTGTGATACCTCACGCATTCCGGAGAGTTCAAATAGTTGTATCATTGCGCCGTATGAGTGTGACGGAAGATTTAAAAGGAAATAGCCTTAATGCAGGATAGCCACATCCCTTCTCGGGCCCTGGTACCAGTTTTAAGGTCCGTGCGCCAAGGAGGGGGGGTCCGAGGGGCATCCCCCGAGAAATTTTAGAATTTATACGACTAATTGGACGCATTTTGAAGCTTCCTTAAGGAATTTTTTCATCGATTTCTGCGGAATAATTATGTTTATTTTTTTTTTTTTTATACTTTCAGCACAAAATACTTGCGAATTGTTGCATTCGAAACATCTGGAAAATTTTTATTTTTTTAATTTTTATTTTTTTTTTTGGGGGGGGGGGCATATTTATGCATGTATATATATGGGAGCATATTCGTAGTGGTTTTTCACTTGTAACACGGGCCCCCTCCGGGGCCCGGGTCCCGGTACCAGGGACCCAGTATCCCCCCCCCCCTTGTGGCAGGCCTGAGAGTATATGAGCGACCGGTCCACATAATTTTTTGATTAATAGTGACGACGCATAAGAATCGCCTTCAATGGGAAAAGATACTTCCTATCGTGGCAGCGGAGGCCGAATAGTCGTATCATTCCAAAACCCAGTAAACACTGTAGGAACACTAAAATTGGCGAGTAAGTGCGCGATCACTTCAGATAATTTCTTGATGAAAAATGACGATACATAAGAGTCGCTTTCATTGGGAAAATATACTTCCTAGCGTTGCCGCGGAGGCGGAATAGTCGTATTATTCCAAAACTCAGTCAAAACTGTAGCAGCGCGATTTGCGATCGTTTCACGTAGAATCGCCTTCAAAGGGAAAAGATACTTCCTAGCGTGGCTGCGGAGGCCGAATAGTTGTATCATTTAAAAACCCAAGCAATACTGAAGCAGCACGTAGATTAGGAAGAAAGTGCGATCGCTTTAGAGAATTTGTTAATGTAGACTGACGGCACATAAGAATCACCCTTTGTGTTGCTCAAATTCTGAGCTGAAAGTTCTTTTGCGGAGCGATATCCGTCTTTTCTTGGAGTGATGCATGTCGGAAGGAGATTTCCTTGTCAAAGTGAGTTATCTCGCTCACCGCACGAAAGGCTCACTCCATTCTCTGAGCAGGGCAGCTCCGAACTATTTCATTCCGGTGACTTGGGCCAGATTTCTTTCTTTAAAGGTGCAAGGAACCAAGTCACATCAGCTATTGCTAAATTTAATTGGGTAGCTTATTTCTTTACAAAATAACGTTTATGCGGATTCCGTGGAAAATGATAAGCAATTTGCTTCGTGCTAACGCAAAAAATTCACGGAAATTTGCACAAAAATCCGCTCAACCGTTTTCATGTAAATAAATAATTTGCCCAAGTATTGGCAATCGCTGATGTGGCTTGGTTCCTTTCTGCTCAACGCGGACCAAATGCAAGTAGATCCAAACCCGCCACATCCCATCTCGGGCCCTGGTACCAGTTTTAAGGTCCGGGCCCCAAGCACGGAGGGGGGGGGTCCGAGGGGCATCCCCCAAGAAATTTTAAAATTTATACGACTAATCGGAAGCATTTTGAAGCTTCCTTAAAAAATTTTTCCATCAATTTCTGCGGAATAATTATGTTTTTTCTTCTACTTTCAGCACAAAATACTTGCGAATTGTTGCATTCAAAACATCTGGATTTTTTTTTTTGGGGGGGGGAGGGGGGCATATGATACTATTTTCAGTTCTAAGAGGACCAGGCCCCCCTGGACTGCCCCTTCGTTCGTCTATGGCAAGGGAGTTGAGCCATGAGCCATTGAAGTCGAGGATGCCCAGACTGGAGACCCTTAGCATCTAACGACGGAAGAAAATGAAACGCAGTTACTAAAAATATCCCTCTGTACTGAAAATCTTGAAAATAGATAGAAATTTTCCAAGACGTATACTTCTTTGAAAATTTAAGAAGAATTCTACAGTGCCCCAGCGTGTTTCTGAAAATCTATTCACCTTTTGCGAAATTTTTAGGGTAAATTGTTCACTTTTTCTTACGAAACAAGGGTTGCATGTAAATTCGTAGTGGTTTTCCACGGGTGACACGGGCCCCCTCCGGGACCCGGTTCCCGGTACCAGGGACCCAGTATCCCCCCCTTGTGGCGGGCCTGCCTCCATGCACGCTGGGCTTGTCGATTTCCTCTGAAATTTTTGCTGTGGTGAATGCATAGCTGAAGTGCGCGAAGGGATAATCCGGGTATCGGAACTCGACTAATTTGAAAACGCCTTCAAATGCGGCGTGATACCTCACGCATTCCGGAGAGTTCAAATAGTTGTATCATTGCGCCTTAGAAATGCGACGGAAGATTGCAATTGAAATAGCCTTCATGATAGCCTTTTCGATTTCCGTTAACATTTTTGCAGTCATGAATGCGCTTAAGTGCGCTTCAGCTAGAATTGTATTTAGCAAATTGCGAGAGAAAACGCGATTTACTTACGATGAGTGCAAGTCGTTACAGATGCGATTGTAGCAATGTTGCGAGGAGGAAAGGGTTTGTAAATCATTTTGGGAAGAACTGTATTCATCCCGTAAAATTACGCATAAAATTGTGTCCGTTGACAAATTTTAGATATTTAACGGTACCATTTGACTGCAGCTTAGGCAAAATGGACGGGACAATGGTGCTAATAGAGTAGACGGAAATGAAGTTGCTCAATTCGGAATCTTAGAAAATTAAAAACTTTAGATGCATTTTGGACGAGTGTTCATCATTTTTACCTTAAAAATATCAAGTATTTCCTCTAGCCGCAAACGATTCCTGGGTAAATGTTTTTTTAACCCACCCTGATGAGTTTTTTGCCACTCATTAATTGAGCACAAAACACTTCTCATTTGAGAGTGCTATATGAACTTAGGATTTCTGCCATCCATAAGACGAAATGGAACCTCGTAAAATGATCAATAGGTATATGGATAGTAACACGGAAAAAATGGAATGTTGATTTACCTAATAATTCAGTTGATAAAAAAAGTGTCCGCAATGTTTCAAATATACATCTTACAGCTGTGGAAAGCTAATTTAACCAAGGAGGTAGCCTTTTTTATTTTAAAATCTTCATTGAAACATTGCAGGCACTTTTTTCTACTACAAAATTGTTAAATCAGCAATTTAATTTTTTCCGTGACTGTTAGGGCGAGTGTTTGAACTGCGCGCCAGTAACATGGCTCGTTTTCGCCTACGTCATCAACATGGCAACTCTTCTCCCACCACTCCCTCTGCCTCTTCCTTGTTCTATTCAATCTTTCGTTCATGCTGAATTCCGACCCGTTCTGTTGGCTGTTGCATTGTTTGAGTTGCTCATTAGATGTATGTGCGTCGGTCTGTCCTGTGTGTGTGAGTGCTCCATTGGGAATACATGACTTCGCAGCATCTCAGTTCTAATTTTTCAACCATCCTCACAGGATAATCCTTTCGTGTATACCGTGCAAACGTCCAGTGCTTTCAAGTTTCTTTCAGCCGTACTGAATAAACGCATCGTGTTTGTCACCGTTATTTTCTGCTCATTTCAGTGTTTCAATCGGGCCGAATCTCGGATGCTCCGTTTATTTACGTACTCCGAGAAAGGGGATTCAAATCGCGAATCGGTGGTGCTTCATTCATTTCGTTCGGTTGTTCAGTCATGTCTTTGTTTTACTTTAGTTTCCTGTGACCTAGTCACGTCCAATTGACCTCTCTCATGTCCCACAAGATTCGGATTCATCTGGGATTCCTCGATCTCCGTCAGGACATCAGTTCGTAGGAGAGGATCCATTTTCGAAAATCAATATAATTTTACGAATTCTACTTCGTTGGAAACCTCTTTATTTGCGTGCATTTCTCCGATGCTTTATCATTAACATTTTCATCGTATCATTCGTGCCCAGTGAATTATTGGTAACTGACCACCATGGTTCTTAGATCAATCGCTGATTTTGCTCATATCAATCAAGTGTCTCTCCGCCAAAAAATGAGCATTAACGCCGTTACTATCTTTTTAACGTGTTTTGTCGCGCTGGTTAGTGTGTGTTGTGTATCTGCAAGAGATATTAGTTGTTCTTCTGTCAAATCGTCATCTGCCGTTATACCTTGGAGTGGCATTCACATCCCGGAATCGCCCCAATCAGGTAAGATTGTGAGCTTCAGTACATGCTGGTTAATTTCAATTATCCTCTAAGTTCATCAGTAAAACAGTACTTAAAGTACTTTCGAGGTACTGGAAGTATTTCAAGTTTCCTTGAGAAGGTGCGACCCACTCACATGAAGTCGCACTGTCGAGGTTAGGTAAGTATTGATGAATGCGTGTAACACGCACAAGTAATCTAGTTTAATGAACATTTGATCAGCCCAATTTTCTCTCAAATTTTATTCACAATTTCCCCCTACCATTCCTAAGGGTTGGAAAGGAAGCACTCAAACTTTCAAGATTTTTCATCGATAGATTAATGTCTTGTGTTTTGATGGATGAAGAAGATGCTACAATTGATGGATCGGTATATTTTTAAAATGTTGTAACCTTCCATGGAGATGACACAGACGCTCTGCAAGATCCAGTTATGTATACGAGAATCTTAGAAATTCTTTGATGCTAGGAATCCAATTTAGCGGATTATTTGTGTGGTCAGAGTTAACTTGCTCTACGTTGAGACGAAAGTCAAACTCCTCACTTTTGGTGTCGCATGAATGTAGGAATTAACATTTCAAATAGTGCTAACTAGAAACTTGCAATAGATCACGCCCATTATCATTTTCCCAACAAACTGTGAATAAAGTTTCAGTTTTATTGAATAACCACTTGCTCACAACCAGCCAAATTCTCCAGGTATTCAGGGAATCTTTTGCTCAGTCACACCATGTAGTACTGGTTTGCTGTATTTTGGTTTGGTCATGCTGTACTCAATACAGCCTATACTTATGCAAGCTTTGATTCGTTGCTCCTGTTAGGACAAGTGGAAAAAACATTAAGTAACTGCAGTTTGTTACAAAATTCTTATTTCGTTTAATCCATTTATAGAATGTCATTTTAACATGTTTCTTAGCATAATTGAAGCTGATACATCCAGCTGGTGTATCAGCTATCAACATGATATCACCTTTTTTTCTAAAATTGAACAAATCAATAAATTATTCCCAATTTTCCCTGAAAATTCATACTTTACCAACGGATATTTGGCAACATCTTACGGCTAATGCCAGTGGTGCAGTTTCATTTGGCCGAACGTTTCACACGATACGGAATTTTTTCCTTATTCACCTCTGGAAACTTTCCTCACTTTGTTAACTTTTGCAAGGCCCTTTTTCCTCCTTTTTTTCTTTTTTTGGCTCTTCACTTTCAGAAATTTCCTAATGTGGATGTACCTGATTCCTCACTTTTCACGCCATCAACAAATAATTGAACAGATTCGAAGACATAGAACAGCTATTCAGCTATTTCTCAACATATTTGAAGCCCGGAACGTCTAAATGATCGACAAATCTTCGGAATAGCAGAGAAGAGTGGATTTCGGCGCCGTCTCTCGTTTCAGACAAGAATGTTCTCACTTTCCCAATCAATTCCTCATACTGAGGAAATTTCTCCCCTGGATTGAAGAAAGCTTTTCCTTGCAATCCTGAAGCTTGCGCCTAGCAACTTTCTTCTACATGACAAATGGAGGGGGCGCGTAGTAGCTGTCAGGAATGCTCGAAACGTCGCCCGAAAAGTCAGCGAGATAGATATATCGTCGGAATTTTTTCCGAAATTTTTTTTCGATGTGTCGTTACGGACGAAAATTTTATCATTTTTCCAAAAGTTTTCTCATCGATATCGCACCATCGAGATTTTGCAACCCTGGCATGAATTTTCGCTGAAAATCTTTATACCACCATTTTACTCCAATGGAGTTTTTGCAGGTGTCTGAAATTTAAGTCATTAGTGTTTAAGAAGTGACTACCGAGAACACTGAGCACGAGAATAAGTATCCTTCGTTTCTAAATTGAACAACAATCATTGGAAGCGATATGACACAATATCAGAATTTTCTCAAGTACATGGAAATGGCGTAAGATGACGTCATAAGGCGGTACAGCGGACTCACAAAGCCATCTTTCTCCACCATCCCATATCCGAAAATCGTTTTGAAAAATACCGCGAACTCAGCTCAATAAGCACTCCCAGATAAAGCAATACAATATTCGTGTGCGAATTCGCCATTTACTTAGGTATTGCGAAAAATCTCCCAGTTGAGGTTCTCGGAGCGTAAAACGAAACATTTAAAAAGTCCTGAAAGCTCTCACCGGTTTTTATAGTTCTGCCGTGATAGCGAAGAGAGCCGTAAGTGTAAAAATGAAGTCTGAGAAAACGGGCTCAGAAGCTTCGGAGTGGAACATTTTATTGAAAGAAGCCTCCGTTCTTTATCTAATTGCCACTATTCGTCCGGAAGACTCCTAGAAATCATTTGGGGGATTCAAACCCGACCGATTTTATTTTAAAGTACATGAAAAAGGTAAAATTCAGTTTCGTGTTCGGTTATTGTTAGGCAAGACAGCCGTAAGTGCTATCTTCTACATGCTTTCGTGGTTGCGTTTTGGAAGCACAACAAACACATTTTCAGGTTAGAAATTGGCAGAAGAGGGCGACACTTCACTGGAAAGCACTGATTTCATTGGCTCTCATGCACCTGCGGCTGTCTTGAAAAAAACTAAGTCATTTTTTGCGCACTTACGGCTTTCTCATACGTCTCGTTTTCATTAAATTAGGATGAATTTTGCTGTTTTAGCTGTCTCAGTAATTTCATCTAAAAGAGTTGAGACGAATTTTGAAGAAAACTCGATTTCGAAAATTTTGCACTTAAGTACGGCTCTCTTCGCTATCACGGCAGAGTTGGTCGTACTCGCACTGTCGCGTCGGGGTTTTCTCGTCAGCGGCGGCGCTGAGGATGTCCGCACGTTGCCGAAGGAAACTCGGCTTGGCCAAGGCCGGGAACAATCGCATAACTAGGTACAGCGACCCGAGGCCCGAACCTGTTTTTGCCGAGGAAAACGCGGCGGCGCATCCACGGGGGAGGACACGACAACCGGCAACATCCATGACGAAGAATGTGGTACGAGACCAGAGGGAAGGCGGCGGCATAGGAGGGATACCTTGTTGCCTTGCACCAGCGACATTTACCCTGTTTGCCTTTGTTTCGCCTTTGGTTTAGCTGGAATGCTGAGCCATTGTTGTCGGTCCTCCCTCATTGTGAGGCCCCCAAGCGCCAACGTGGAAATGAGCCGTCCACTTCCGAAAGGGGACGCTCTCATTCATTTCTCGCAGAAAAGCCCTTTCTCCGCTCTCGATGAAAGTTCTGAAACGCGCCGCGCCGCCCATCTCTTCTGGCGCTCTTGCCTCGTCGCCGAAATGTCTTAACAGAGAATTTGCAGGTGTCTGAAAGTTGATCAATTTCATGTTTAAGTGGAAACTACTGAGTGAGCTGAACACGAGGTCACCCTTGGTTCATGAATTGAACAATAATTGGACTACATTTTGCAATTCGGAACTATAATTTCTGGCTTAGGTTAGAAACAGCATATGTACCATTAGTTTCCCTACGCACGTACGTGTTTTTACAAACGAGCCAGAAATTATAATTCCGAATTGCAAAATGTAATCCAATTGGAGAAGATATGACAAAATGATCTAATCTGCTAAAATATTCGTGTGTTTAAATGGGAAATGCCGCCAGATGACGTCACTAGGCGGTGAATTTCCTCACTTTTAGATTTATTTTTTAACATCGTAGATGACTGATCGCTCTCTCAACTCAAAACGACGCGAAGAATAATTGAAGAATATACGGAATAATTGAAGGATATACGAAGTTGGGTTCGAGCTCACCATTCAACTATTTGAACTCCGCGGTAGGCCCGGTTGCATACACCAGATTTTGCAGGCGAAATCTGCGATCTACCCACGGCTTACGCGTACCTGCAATATATGGCTCTCGCGATAGGGTACGGTACAGGTGCACTTAAATTTTCCTCGAACGCATGCAACCTGGCCGGCTTTTTTTGCAAAAACTTTAAAATAAACCAGTAATTTAGCAAAAATCATTCGATAGGTTTCTTGATGTTCGTGTATTTCAGGTGTGGTTTCACTTCAGTTCACAACTTGCTTTGTTCGGCCTATATTGGCATCGCGTGCCAGGTATATTGTTGGAGGATGGGTAAATTATGTTGAAATGTTGCGATGTTGTCGGGATGCTGTTGTAGGATAAAGGGGTGATGGGCGGGGGTAGGGGGGTGGGGTGGAGCTAGCTTTCTTGAATGGGATCTCTGCTGCATTTGTGGGATGTTCTTGGTTCCAGTGGTGAAGCTTGCGCATCTACACTCATGATTTAGACAGTAACAATTATGTGGGATACATCTCGTCAGAACATTTGAAAATGTTACGCCCAGGCAAAGATCTCTTGAAGTCGCGACGGGTTTAACGAATTTCAATCGAAACCTCGGTTTAGAAAAAGGAAAAGTACGTGTCGGTAATTTTGTGTTGAAGTCATGGTGCTTTTTAGGGCGCAAAATTGCAGCCAAGCTATGAACTCAAATTATCCAGAGTGATTAATTATGACTACTACTTATGACCCGTCGTTTGTAAAGCACGCATTTGAGGTAGTTTTTGCGTTCTCATTTTTGCGGGGACACTTATTCATGAACATTCTTGGCCATCTCGGTTTGATTTTGGAATATCTAGATTTGCAGTGACATTTTTTGTGTCAGAAGGTTGGCTACCCTTTTGTGCCCTAAGAGCTCCGTATTTCGATTTGTCCAATTGTCCTTACTCCTCCGATATCTTTGCTCCTCTGACGTAAGGGCGTATTTCAATTTTCACATAAGCCTTCGAAAGCACAGAGTTATACGGAGCACAGGGGTCACGTGCAAATCGAGATACGCCCTTTCGTCAGCGGAGAGCATCGAAGTCGGAACTTCCCGGAGACATTTTTACACAGAAACGCGTATCCGTATTATACCCACACAATACAATAAACACCCACAATCTGAAGGGTGACAGCAGAGAGTATAGAAGGTCTTCTATACTCTCTGGGTGACAGTGAATGTTCGCGGAAATTCCTTGTGGTGTACCTGAGCTCACTGTATCGAGGAACTTGTAACGATT